CATTCTCCGTCCTCTTATTATCAATGCATCGAACGCAGAGCACCGGCCCTTCAATTGGTGCGTCACGTAGTTAGTATTCTGACTACGACTGGCTCCATTGTAAACCGCTACTTTTTAACGGGTTTCAGATCCCTATTTTTTTGATAAACTTTGCTAGCTTTCGATGCCTTTAAAGGGGCAGGGAAAGCATGGTTAGGGATTTTACGCTTGGATTTTCTATAACTCGTCTTCCATGACGCAATGAAAATCCGGCTTGAGCGTTGCGTGCCGCGGAGCGGTCAAAAGCATAGAGAATCCATAGCCAAAATCCTAGTCATACCTCGCACTCCCATTTAAAAGGTCATTTTCCCCTTAATTTCCTCCAATAGTACATATTTTCCTTCCAAACGAACATGGGCCCTTGGCGGAACGATCTTATTAGAGTTTCAGCTGTTTTCCGGGGTCACCAGAGGACCCAGCGTCCAGAAAGGACCAATTGGATGTCTTCTTCTTGGCTCCATAGAGAGCGAGAGAGAGAGAGAGAGAGAGAGAGAGAGAGAGAGAGGAGAGAGAGGCCGAGCATCTTGTGGTGTGTATCGAGTCTACAATGAATACCGGATGAGTGGGGGAGACCGAGCCTCCTCCTCGTCCTCGCCCTTCTCCGGCCCAAAATGGAGCTGGGCTGACGAATGTCTTTCTTTGGGCCGACTGACTTCGTTTTCTTTCTTTTCCGCTTTTTCTCCTTGTCTTCTTATCGGGGCTGACCACAATCGGCGCGCCTACTTTTCCGGTGTTTTCCAGTCGAGTTGCGAAATTTTCTGGGTATTTTTGGGCGTGCTGGAGGGCGAAGTTATTGTAGGAGCTTCAGGTTTCATGCCCGAGTTTTAGTAACTAATCTTTGCTAGTCTGCCAGCTTTCTGCTCCCAAATGGTTTCTGCTAGCCTGCTTTGGTGGCAAGATATGTGCAAAGCTCAACTTTTTTTGGATGCTAAAGTTAATGTTGCAGCAGAGTTTTTAAATGCTCTTTGCGTTTTCATCTCTGTCTCTCGCTCTCTCTCTCTCTCACTCTCACTCTCTCTTTGATCATTTCTCCTGCATTTCGAGAACACTTAACATAATGATTCTGCCGGCGTCCGGTTGCCCTTTAGAACTTCACGCGTTTAGCAATTACCCCGGTTAACCATTACCAAGGTGCTGCTTTTTTTGCTTATTTTTGAGTCTGGGAAAAAAATTATAATTAAAACCATTATAGTATCCAACCAGCAAGTCCCTTTGAGTTCTTTAAAGGGTTCTCAGACCATGGGTTTTTTGCTATTAGTTCTCTATGGAATCGGCCTCAATGGCGCAACGGAACGCGGGAGCTCCAGTTCTCATGTTCCTTTCAAGTCCGACTCCAGCGTTAAAGACACTGCTAATTCCAACAATAATCCGCACAGCCCAAATCCCGACGTCCCGACCTAAAATCCTGATAATCGATGCCGTAATCTCGAAATAAGCTTGACGCGGTTTCAAAGGTCTTTTTCTTGAAAGCTATTTGCATGTCGGGCGTCGGGCCTTCGGGATTTTGGCTGTCGGGGTTTTCGCTATCACGATTTTGGCGTCCCCCCACTCCCGACCAAAAACCTTCCGAAAGCCTCAGTTTAGCACGTTACTTTGCGTCTGCCCCAACCCCCCGGGAGTTCATTATCCCATTTCGCGAAGTGTCTCCCTGTCGAAAGGGTTGGAGCGGAAATTGGCTCCCGCCTCGGGGATTCCCATTTTAGGGCCCAGACCCCAAAACGACGATGAGTTGGACCCCACGGTGGAGCGGGTCGGCCGCACGGCAAGAAAAAATGGGAGGCCGCGCCGCGCCGGTGGGGGGAGAAAAATGCAATTATCTGCCGGGCCCTCCCAAATCGCATATACGCGCATGGCTGCCAGGGGGGGGGGGAGAATTTGAATTTTGTCCCCGAAGCAGGACCCCGAATCGAGGCACGACATAAAGAAAAGGTCTTCGCATTTTAAGGGAAGTGGCAAATGTCGATTTTTTGCTATGCATTTTACTTGTAGTTTGCCGCACTCGCAAAACGCATTTCAGTACGAGGATACGGCAAAATTCATAAAATCCATATCCGTGAAACGGTATTCTTGGCTTACAAGTTCCTTTAAAGACTCTTTTCATCGAAAATTTGAAATAATTTATCGAAAATGCGCTTCATATTCACACTCGCTCGCCCGCTCTCTCTCTCTCTCTCTCTCTCTCTCTCGCTCTCTCTCTCTAATTCTCTACCCCCCCCCCCCCCCCCCCCCCCCCCCTCCCCTCTCTCTCTCTCCCTTGTCGAACTTCCGGCACTGATTCACAGGTCACGAAGCCAAAATATCAACTCCCAAAAACCCCAAATACCTGGCGTAATGAGTCACCACCCCCCGTATGCTAATGTCGATTCAATTGTTGCGTGTTGTCCCACGCACACCTCGACGGCTACATTAGCCATCTCCGGCCCATCCGAAAGAGGCTGTAGAAGCAGTGAATCATGATGTGACCCACGCCAAACACCCCATCTCCCCCTGATCGATTATTTGACTTTCTCATCTCCCGACCGGCCATTGGGGCCAGGGAGGAATGACTCCTATACAACAAGGGAATTGACCCTTGCACACACAAGCGATAAGCTAGATAGTTGCCCGGTCAGGGCGATTGACCGGGGGCACAAAATAGCAAAGAAATGGGTTTGAGGGTTGTTTTTCTTTCGGGGTTTGATCACGTTTTCTCCCTATATTTATCTCGCTCTTCTTCTCTCTCTGTCTCTCTCTCTCTCTCTCTCTCTCTCTCTCTATCTCTCTCTCTTTCTCTCTCTCCCTCTCTCTCTCCTCTCTCTCTCTCCCCCTCCCCCTCCCCCCCCCCCCCCCCCCCCCCCCCCCCCCCCCCCCCCTACCGAAAATCATTTATATTCTATAGCTTCTCGCCAAAAACCAATATCGAGCCTTGTCCTTCAAGTTTCGATTTCTCGCGAATATAGTCTGGGTTATAATACCGCTTTATATACTGTATTTTTGTAATGTTTTAGCTGAATTTGAAGCACTACCTAGCGCAGAAAAACTATAATTATTTAATTGTTGGATAAAAGATTTTTTTATAACCTTTAAAAGAATTTCAAACAAAATCTCAAAGCCCTAATGCCGACAAGCCAAAATACCGACATGCCAAAATACCGGGAATTCATGACACTAGTTCTGAAACGCTTTTTAATCAGGTTTTTGCGGATCGGATTTCAGCCGTCGGGATTTTGACTGTGGAGATTTTTTTCTTGCTTTTTGTCTGAAACGCTCACTCCTGTGATTACATATACGCTGGTGATTTGTAAAATGAGAGTAATAATTAAATAATGGATATTTTGGACGTAAAAACACTCCATTTTGAACGAGAATTCCGCTCCAATTCCACGGTATCAATCGCACCCTTTCCTTTGATCCGATTTATACCCCTAGGGCATATTCACACCCTCCCGCACCATCCCCACAACTGAATCACCCAGATCTGATGGGCCCCGAGGGTTTCCCATTCCAATTCCCCAAGCGATTCCAATCGATTCTCGGTATCACCTGTTCAGCTCTTCCCTTCCGCTGCTTCCATTCTTCTCGCTTCCGATCCACTCCTCCCCCTCCCTCTAATTGACACCTTTCCGCCTATTCGGCACCCGGGTTTATAGCCATTTATGGGTCGGCGAATCCCTTGCCAATTCGGTGACAAGCCACCCGCATTTTCGACCAGCTCGCTTTTTGCTTGTTTGTTTTGGGGGGGGGGGTTGTTGCAAAAGTTGAGCTCGACCGGGCGCCTTTTTAAAGCATTTAAAGGAGGGACGATAGTAGGCTTACCTGTAATAAACGAATAGACTTACCTAGGGCTGACTGTATCTCTCTCCCTCTCTCTTTTTCTCTCTGTCTCTCCCTCTCCCTCTCCCTCTCTGCCTATATCTCTCCCGCTCTCTGCTACCATCTCTCGCTTTGAGCTTTAAACGGAGCATAACGATTCGCACTCCTTTCTCTCTTTCTACCATGTTCTCTCTCATTCTCTTTCTCTCTCTCTCTCTCTCTCTCTCTCTCTCTCTCTCTCCCTTTCCCACTCTTTCTCGGTCTCGCTTTCTCTGTCTTGCTCTGCTGTCCTCTCGTTTTCCTCACGATCTTGCGCTCCGAGGATTAGGTTTTTATGACGTAACCAATTAGTCTTAATTGATCTATCGCTCTGTCGTTCTATCTATCTATCTCTCTCTTTCTCTCCCTCTCTCGCTATCTGTCTATCTCGCTTTCATATTTCTCTTTCTCTCCCTTCACCATCCCTTCCCTCCACTACCCTCCAATCCCAGCTTGCTAAAATCAAATTCCCCACTCACTCTCACTCCTCCTCATCCCTTAAAAGTTGCTCTTTTGGCGGCGGGGATGATGTCTCTTTCTATGTGGATCTTGTGGGTGTTGTGTCCCCCTCGATGCCACAATCAAATTGGCCGCAATACTGGGCCCTCCTCCTTTTTCCAATGGGAGGTCCACCCCTTCTTTCTCAATCCACCCCTCAACACCGAGACAGACATGCGGACACACCACTACGCGTTTTACCCCCGAACGCCTGGGCCGGCCCCCGGAATCTCCCGGAATCGCCTAAATCCATTAGGGGGCTGAGAGCCGGTCCAGAAGCGGCCAGGCCCGTGGATTGGATTTGGGTTTTTTCGGGGGTTTTAGGGTTCAACTGGTTTTTTGGTTTTAAAGGGATTGGCAAGGCTTGATTATGGTTTTTGCGTCGATTTTCTCTGGATTTAGATATTTACTATTTACTATTTTATTGCGTAATCGATTAAGCTACGTGAACATTGCGATTTTTTCATAGTCATTTTCTTTTTATCATTTTCTTTACTTTTTTGTGTATTTCCAATTTTCCTCGATTTAAAACCCGGTATAACCTTATTTTTTGCAGGGTATGCTTCACTAATTCGTGCCACCCTTAAGACGACGGCAAGAAGGTGATCAGCCCCCACGGCAGCTCGCTCAACATGACGGCGGACACCGGCGACATGGAGAAGGTCAAGGTGGCCGTGCGGGTGCGACCATTTAATAAACGAGGTGAGAATGTGTATTTCTGTTTCTCTCTCTCTCATTCTCTCTCTCTCTCTGTCTCTCTCTCGCTCTCGTTCTCTCTCGCTCTCTCTCTCACCTACCGTTTTTCCAGAAAACGAGCTTCGCACCAAGTGCGTCATCCAGATCCAGGGCGCCGACCAGATCAGCCTCGAGCCGGGCAGTGAAGAGTGAGTTTTCAAAAACCACAGATTACGGTATCGAAACCATATTTTAGAAAACAACTCAAAAACTTCACTTTTGACCACGCGTTCTGTTCCATCGATCCCGCGGACTCGAATTATGCAAGTAGGAATTACAACGTTTTTGTGGCTTTTGTAGTCTGTAGTTTTATTGCAAAAACAAAGTAAATACTACCATATCCCCATAAAAATGATTTTTGCTTTTTAGGCCAAGAAGAGGTGTTCAAAAACCTTGGCGAGGGCGTGCTGGACAACGCGTTTCAGGGCTATAATGCGTGCATTTTTGCGTACGGCCAAACGGGTGGGTTTTTTTGGTTTCTTTCTCCCTATCTATCTCACCTTTCTCGCCCTCATGCTCCATCGCCATTTTGAGCCTGAACTTTTCTAGGTTCCGGAAAGTCCTATTCAATGATGGGAACATCTGAACAGCCTGGAATAATACCTCGACTCTGTGATGCTGTATTTTCAAGGATTGAAGAGACCACTTCGGAAGAGCTGAGCTATAAGGTAAGGTTTTCAAAAATTCCTCAAGGATCTCTGCTAGCTTGCCTTCTGTGTTCTCTTGACAGACGCGGAGAATTCTCTTTAATGCGCAGAGAATTTCCCTCTCGTTCTATCCTTATCTGTCTCTCTCTCTCTCTCTCTCTCTCGCTTTCTTGCTCTCTTTCCCCCTATCTCTCTCTCCCGTTCTCGCACTCGCTCTCACCCTCCCATCTCCCCTCTCTATCCTCTCATTCGCCTCGCTCTCTCTCTCTCTCTCTCTCTCTCTCTCTTTGTCTCTCTCTCCCTCGCGCTCTGTGTCTCTAAATCCCCAAATTCCAGGTAGAAGTCTCCTACATGGAAATCTACAACGAGAAAGTGCGAGATCTCCTCGACCCAAAATCATTCAAAAAGGGCCACCTGAAAGTGCGAGAGCACAAGATCCTAGGCCCGATGGTAGATGGCCTGTCCGTCCTCGCCGTGTCCAGCTACGAACAAATCGCTTCCCTCCTCGAAGAAGGCAACAAATCCCGGACTGTCGCGGCCACCAACATGAATGCCGAATCAAGCAGAAGCCATGCCGTGTTCACCATCAGATTGACGCAGATCCTCAGCGACCTCAGCAACGAGTTCACCGGCGAGAAGGTGGCCAAAATCTCGCTTGTTGATCTTGCCGGAAGTGAGAGAGCTGGGAAGACTGGGGCTATGGGAAAGCGGCTGGAGGAAGGAGGAAATATCAACAAGTCATTGACGACGTTGGGGATGGTCATCTCCGCGCTGGCCGACAGATCGAACAAGGGCAACCGGGAGAAGTTCATCCCCTACCGGGACTCCGTGCTGACGTGGCTGCTCAAAGATAATCTTGGCGGGAACTCGAGAACTGTGATGATAGCTACAGTATCCCCGGCTGGGGATAATTATGAGGAGACGTTGAGTACGCTGCGATACGCCGATCGGGCAAAGAGGATTGTCAATCATGCTGTTATTAATGAGGTTGGTTACAGGAAATAAAGCTAACCAGGAGTTCGAGCTGCTCAATTAGCTGAAACCGAGGTTTTCAAGGTGTCCAAGTCGTTTAGGTGTAGTTCAAGATTGTGGATATTTACCACATGTTCGAGCAGTTCACCTCGCGTTTTTCAACTGCATCGAGAGAAATACCCATTTTCAGGACCCCAACGCCAAGGTCATCCGTGAACTTCGCGAAGAAGTTGAGCAGCTACGCCAGCAAATCGACCAGGAGCGCCGGAAGGAGCACTCCGAAACGGAGGAGCTACGAGAAAGGCTAGCCGAATCCGAGCGGATCGTCGCGCAGATGAACAAGAGTTGGGAGGAGCGATTGCGGGAGACCGACGTCATCTACAAGGTCAGTTTCGTCCAAGAAGCTAACAACTACAACAAAACAACGTCTTGAACAAGGTCAACGTTTTATTTTCAGGAGCGACAACGCGACCTCTCTAGCATCGGAATCTCACTCGAGAGCTCGGGGATCAAGGTGATGCAGGACAAGTTCTACTTGGTGAACCTGAACGCCGACCCGTCGTTGAACGAGCTGTTGGTGTACTACATTCAAGTGACGACGATCATTGGCACTGGAGGGGATGAAGGGGAGAGAGGATCGGCTGACATCGTGCTCCAGGGTGTCGGAATACAGCCGAGGCATGCCATGCTCGAGATTTGCGAGGAGAACGGGAGACATCGGCTGTACATCTCACCTTTGGCCACTAATGCGAGGTAGGGACAAACGGGGGTTTTAAAGGGGCAGTGACAAGCCAGAATGAATTCCGATGACACTCCCGAAAGGGGGGTTTCCGAATTGTTTTTTTTCCAGATTTGGGAAAGGGGGGGGTGGGGGCCTGGGGGGCGGGGGAATGGGTGGGGCCGAAACGGGACCTATGCCGGGGGGGCTGGGAGACTTGGCCCCCCATTGGGTGGGGTTTGGAAAGAGGGGGGGGGGGTTGGGGTTTTGGGGGGGCGGAAAATTAAAGGTATAAGAATATTTGTTTGGGTTTAGTTTTGGGGGGGGGAGTTTTTTTGGGGGGGTTTTTGGGGTCCGGGATTTTGGGGGCAGGGTTTGGGGGGGGGGGAGGATTTGGGGGAGGGTGCATAAAATTTGAAGTACAAAATGAAGTATAAGTAAAATATCGATGGGTGCTTTGCGTAGCAGAAAAAAATAGAGTACGTCAAGCTCCATTGACATTTTTGAATGAGGCAACGGTTAAAAGAAGGGGGAGAGAGAAAGAAAGAGAGAGAGAGGTAGAGAGAGAGAGAGAGAGAGAGAGCGAAACGAGCGATTGAGAGATTGAAAGAGAGAGAGGGAGAGAGGGAGGAGAGGGCGTGAAAGAGAGATAGTGAGAGAGAGAGAGAGGGAGTGAGAGAGAGAGGGAGAGAGAGGGGGGGGGAGGGGGGGGGGGGAAAGAGAGAGAGGAGCGAGAGGGCGTGAAAGCGAGATAGTGAGAGAGAGAATGAGAGAGAGAGACGGAGAATGAGAGAGCCAAAATACCGACATATCCTTGGCGTTTCGGCATCAGGCAAGAGCTGTCGGCATTCTGCCGGGTCGGTATTTTCCCTGTCGACATTTTGGCTGTCGGTATTTTGGCCTTTGAGGTTTTGGCGTGTCGGGATTTTGCCGTTGGCCCCTTAAATAAACCTCGCTTTTCAGAACGTGCGTGAATGGACGAGAAATTGAGGGCCGTACGTTGTTGCGTAACGGCTTCCGCGTGCTGATCGGCATCAACCACTTTTTCCGTGTGAACTGCCCGAAGGAGGAGGTGGACATGATGGCGCAGTCGTACTTTGACGACAGCGGCGTCGGGTTCGACTATCAGGACGCGTGGCAAGAGGTGGGAATCGGTTTTAAAGGGACAGTGACACGTCTGACGCTGTTTTTCGATAATCTGCACGCGGGAATCTCCGATTGTAACCCTCCCCAAATCTTTCAGGCGAACGTCACCTCCTCGATGGTCTCCAACAACCCAATGTCGGTGGCCGTCGACCAGTACGTCGAGCAAATGACCCGAAAACACGAGGAGGAGAAGCAGGCCGCCCTCGAGAAGCAGTACGAGACCTTCGAGCGGTACATACAGAACTTGACGGGCGGAGGGTGAGGATCGATTCCATCTACTTGATGCTCCTTTTAGCATGACCCCCTGCACCCCAATGACCCCAGCCTTCCCGACCCCATTGAGCACCCCCGGCTCGGCCCTGCCTCCATTCGGATTTCCGTCAATGCCACGCCAAAGTGTCAAGCATAGATTCTTCTCGTGGGCCCAGAAAAGGTGAGCAGCTACTGGAGTTTGAAGATCGGCACATTTAGGGAGGAGAAGTTCTCGGAAGCACTGACCAAGCTAAAGCGCGAGATTGCGGCGGCGAACGCGTTGGTGAGGGAGGCGAACATGATCAGCGGAGAGTTGGGGAAGAGCCAACGGCGTACGACGTATGACGTGACGCTGCAAATTCCGGCTTGCAACCTGAGGCCGAGCAAGTTGAGGGTGGGTGTCTTGAACGGCTTGAACTTGATGAAAAAATAGCTCAGCCGATTTCGAAGCACAATCTAGACATAGCGAATCGGGTCGAGTTTCTAAGCTGAACTGCCTGAACTTGATGGACAGGCCATTTAGAGGATTTCTGGAGCTTTAATCTCAAAATCCCGCCCATTTGGCGCCGGAATGAACTTATCCCGTTGAACGGCATGAGCCCTAATCCCCGTGCCATTCCAGGACGGCGGTTTCGTCTGCGAGCCCGTCATCGTGGTGCGCCGTATGGGCATGGCGGGATGCCAGTTCTGGCCGGTCAGCCAGCTGGAGAACAAGCTGGCCGACATGCGCGAGATGTACAACGAGAAGGTTTATGGCGGGCATCGGTACGACAATTTTTTAAAGCATTTAATAGACGAATTTTCAGGCGTACCCCATCAACATCACCAGAAGGTACACCCCTACACGAGGCCAAGGGACTACGCTTCGATCCTCACTTCGATTCCCAACAAAATCACTCGCTTGTCGGGGTTGCAAACGTTTTCTTGGAAGTGCTGTTCCACGACTTGAAGCTGGATTATCAGGTGGGTGGAAAAAGCGTGATTTTAGAACAATTATGCTAATCGGAATGACCAAAAAGAGCGAACGGCTTGAGCATGATGGGGATTATTGAAAGCATTTGAACTGCTTGAGCTTGATAGGAAGTGTCTACGCTTATAACGTGATTAGCGGCAAAGTGCGAACGGCTTAAGCTTGATGAGCCATGCTCAAGCCATGTGAACTGCTTGAAAGTGATGGGGAATGTTTTGTCGCGTTTTCCGGCGATGTTAAAATGCATAAATAAATCTGCCAAAAACTGCTAAAAATGGGAATTGTAAACCTGTCTGTCTTACCTTAAAGCCAAACCCCTTCCAGGTGCCGATCATCTCCCAACAAGGCGAAGTCGCCGGTCGTCTACACGTTCAAGTGTATCGGGTACCCGGGGATGGCGGCCTCGGCTCGAGCCTCGACAGCGGCATGGACATCTCCCGACCCGAGATGTTGCTCGGGAAAACGATCAAGTGCAGGGTAGGTTATCTACATTTCCTAAACAATCCCTGCTAGCTAGCTAAAAACCAGCCAAACTCTTCAGGTGCGCATCCGCCGTGCCTCCTCCCTCCCCATGAACCTCTCCCACTTTGTGTTCTGCCAATATTCCTTCTTCAACTTGTCGGAGATGCTGGTGGTGCCCTCGGTCGACAGCTCCGAGCATATCCACAGTTTTGCCTTCCACCACGAAAGGGATTTCGACGTGGTGGTGACCGAGGAATTCTTGGAATACTGCCAAGAGGATGCGCTGTCGATAGAAGTTTGGGGACATCGCGGGTATGAGGCTCATGTCGAACGGGCGCTGGAGTTGGACACCAAGAACAAGACGTTGCAGGTTTGTAACCTTTTTCAACACTGAAAATGCTTATTAAAGTTTTTATGGTACTGGACTGTTAATGGGGGGGGGCTGTGCTAAATTTTTCCCAGTAATCCCGTAAAGCCCATGTAGCAAAATATCAATTTTTTCAACATTCTGCACAGTTTATAGATATAAAAAGTATAAAAACAAATTTAAAATTTCGAAAATTTTAGTTTTTTGTCCAAAAAAAATAAAAAATGACCAATTAGGTCAAATTCTAAAAATTTAAAGTTTTTGTTTTTGGTGGAAACTTGCTAGCAGGAGAATCCCGGTTAACATCCTCCCGCCGCTAACAGTCCAGTACCATTTCAACTACACCCGAATTTTCAGGAACGATGGCGAGAGGTCTCCCGCCGCTTGGAGCTGTCCGTCCAAGTGATGGAGATGAACGAGCAGGGCGTGTTTTGCCCGGTAGAAGTTCACGAGAGGCCCGATGTGCTGACGGGAGGCGTTTATCAAATTAAACAAGTTTGCTGTTATCTTTCTTAACTTTAAAATAAACTTTAAGCTTACTATCTTTAGTTTTATTTGTCTAGAAAGTTTATAGTTTTTAAGTTATGTTATTCTTGGTTAAATTACAGGTTTTTGAAGCGCAGCGTATTCCAAAATTCAAAAAATCAAAAGTTTCATGACGTAATCCCTATTTTCGGTTTTTTTTCCATTAAAAATCTAAATAAATTACCTTACTTTTTACTAAACTACGACTTCCCTTAATTTTAAATTTATTTTGTAGATTTATTTCCATTTTCTAGGGTCAACAACGACGCCTCGTTGTCGGTGTTGGTCTACCAGTCGCCGGAGGTGGCCTCCCATTGATCGTAGAAGCCATAACATCAGTCAGTATTGGCTGCGTATGCTTGCGTACCACCACCGAACACGTCGCCCTCGATTCGTACCAAGAAGAGGTTGGAATTCACTTTTTTTGCTTCAAAAATTCGCCCAGGATCTCGAGCGGTTACGGCAACAATGGGCGAACGCGCTCAGTCTACGCCAGGAGTACCTGGAGCAGCAGCTAGGACGGGTAGTTTTTTATATAAATAAAAATACGGTACCCTTAGGTATCCAACAAATCGCTGCGGGATTCTGAGCGCGAGCACTCCCTGATGAGCCAATGGGTAACGCTGGCAGAGGAGCGGAGCGCGCTCTCCATTCCCGCGCCCAATACCGATATCCCCGGGGCGCCGAGCGATTGGTAGGTGTTTTTGGAGCTTTGGCATTATCGAGGCGGGATCCCGGGGTGGCAGGTTTTTCCCTATGTAGAGAGTGTTTATTATAGTTGTTTTTTTTTACGATTCTGGGGCATGACAATACCAAAATTTTTTTGTAAAAAAAAATGATAATACAAAAAAATAGAATTTTGCTAACAAAAAAAGCTAAAAATTCAATATTTTTTAAATTTTTCTGATAGATTACCTATTAAGATAGCAAAATTTATCTATTAAGACATTACTAAAACATCTTACGTAGGTAGGTAACACTGGCTTTCTAGTAAAAAATTAGCCCCCCCCCCTGATAATGCAAAAGAACCGAGGTTTTGATTTTATTTTGATTTACTTCGTGTATGTTCGTTTTATAGTCTTCTTCTTGTTTTCTTTAGCTTATTATATAGATTTTTTTCAGGAATCCCCCGCTCGGCGTAGAAAAGCACGTCCCGGTGCTTTTCCTCGATTTGGACGCTGATGATATGACAGGTATTATAGAAATTTAGAAATTTCTAATTTTATCGCCTTTTTAGGTGAATTCCAAGTGGCTGGAGTGATCGACCAGCTGCCAGGCTCAAATTGCTTGCTGCCTCGGGAAGACGGGCAATGGCTTCATCTGCCGATGCTCGAGACCTGCGAGGTGAGTTGAAAAATATGGATTTACTGACTCGTGACTTTTAAAACCTTATAAACCTTTAAAACCCATTAATTTCTGTTTTTAGAGCTCAGCTACCTGCTCCTGGGACAGTTCCTCGCATTGCGAGAATTATCTAAACGTCGTAACTGGGTCTACGCAGAGAATCTACGCTGTTGTCAAGGTATGAAAATTGGTGTTTTTCGCAGAATCGGGGTAGCCGTTTTTCTCTATAAGTCTTCAAATTCCTAGTAACGCAACGGTTAGTATTTTATTTTATCAATAGTGTTTTTATGAAAATTTTGCTAATTTCAAGTGGAAAAACCATCAAAAAAAAACTTAGAAAATTTGGCATTTTCGAAATTTTTGTCGAAAATCGTCGTTTACTAGAAAAATCAATAGTGATGCATTTTTACCTAAAGAGTTATAAAGTTTTGGCGCCTAGGAAAAGCCATAAAAACAGTAAACTACAACAACTTAAAGGAAAAGAATTTATATTGCACAAACTTCTCACTCGGATAAGCCCCCGATAATGGTAAATACTTGCTGTGCCGATTTTCGCTGTGCCGACTTACACTATGCCGAATTTCACTATGCCGAATTTTCGCTATGCCGAATTTCACTATGCCGAATTTTCACTATGCCGAATTTTCACTATGCCGAATTTCGCTATACCGAATTTTCACTATACCGAATTTTCGCTATACCGTATTTCGCTATGCCGAATTTTTTCTACTCTACCACTAATAGTCTCTACTAATATTAATAACTAAGATCGACTGGGACTTAGCGGTGCAACAAAAAAATCTGCTTCGCCTACGGGACCTACGATCTGCTCGAGTTTTTGGAAATTTCTAGGCTAACTCTAACTTTCTAGGCCCATGATATTTGGAAAAAAACAGTAAAAAAAATGGGGAACATACCGTTTATCAAAATTAGTATGGCGAAGATTCGGCATGGTGAAAATTCGGTATCGTGAAAATCGGCATGGTGAAAATTCGGTATACTAAAAATTCGGCATAGCGAAATTCGGCATAGTGAAAATTCGGCATAGTGAAAATTCGGCATAGTGAATTTCGGCACAGCGTCAATCGGCATAGCAAAATTCGGCATAGCAAAAGGAACTCCCCGATAATACACAAGAACCAAAAATTTCTAAAAATTTTTACCTTTGATTTCCAGGCAATCGTCCGCCTATCCCACCCAAAACCAATGTGCATCGTGCTGCGAAAACGGATATGCCTGGCCGTGTATAAGAAACCGTCGATTACAGAGCGCATTTTCAAGAAGATCGCCGGCGCGGTAGGCTTTTTTCTGACGTTTTTTACCTAAAAAAACCCGATCGAGCAATCGATCGCAGCATCGTTCATCGCAGTTTTTCGTGCAGGAAACGGCGAGCTCGACGAGTGTTTGGTACGATGTGGTCGCCCACGTTCCGAATTCTTCGCACGACGTCGAGGACCGATCTACGTTGGCCTCGATGGCGGCGAGGAGTGGCAGTGAGGACTCGCAGGTTCGTAAATAGGAAGATTTCAAGCCTCTCCGAGTAGGGCATTATCCCTAAATCATACCGATTTCAATGCAGAGTCGTCGTTACGCCGTAATTTTAATCCGCGGAAATAAAAACCAATTCAATGCCAATTCCGATGCCGGTTCTTTTGCACTATCGGGGAGGGGGGAGTTTTTACGTTTAAAAATATTCACAAAAGCGCTTGAAACGCAGCCCTCGATTTATATTAGAAAAATTGGATTTTCGAGGGAAAAGTTTGTCCCCCCAATAATGCGAAATATACTTCGCCCGCCACCCTGGTGGGCCCACCCCAAAGGTGGGGAAAGGTGGGCGCGGGGGGTGGGCAGGGGGTGGGCGCCGGGGGTGGGTGGGGGTGGGGGTGGGGGTGGGGTGGGAGGCGACCACCCCACCCCCACCCCACCCCCCACCCACCCTGGACGCCCACCCCACTGTAAGACTAACGAAAAAGCTAGCCTTTAACCAAGTTTATTGACAGTATAGAACCGTGTGGTCCTATAACGACCATTTTTATATCATTTTACACAGTTTGTGGATAGGGAAGGAATTTCCTTTAATAAAACCCCGGAAATTTTTTCGAAAGCAAAAATTTTTCTCTAAGAGCACGCCTCCCGTGGGGTGATTGGAGAAAATGGAACCACCGGGATTCTATAGCGGAAAACGTTACAAAAATTCATCAAAATTATAAAAATTTACGGAAAATATTGACTTTTTGATCAAAAATATATGAAAAATGGCCAAAGAGGGTCAAATTTGTTAAGAATTTTATGTACCTTTTTAGCAATAAAAAATTACTAACTAAGACACTATAAAAAGCTTCATTACATAGGTGATCTATTTTCTCGGCTGTAGATTTGATGGCTTTCCTTGGCGGGGGGGGGGGTCGTCTCCCACCCCGACCCCCACCTCCGCCCACCCCCAGCGCCCACCCTCTGCCCACCCTCCACCCCCACCCCTGCCCACCTTTTGGGGGGGCCCACCAGGGTGGCGGGCGAAGTATAATGCGAAAGTATCCCTTAAAAATCTCAATCTCATTTTTTGGATAATGAAGATTATACGTATTCAAGTCGGCCTAATGAACCCTCATGCTCCGGCGGGCTACTCTACTGAAACACAACTTTAGGGCGAGGGCGACGGTGATCGACAGCTCTCCTACATCACCGCCTACACCAAGAGCATCCAAGAAGTCGAGTCGATGATGAAGCTCGATAGGTTGCGGCAAGAAGTCGCCATCACGAATATGCTCTCAAAGTGCGTTAATTCCAGAAAAAAACCGAAACCAAAACTTCAGGAAGGAGCGGCAAAACCGGATGCAACACCTCGGCGTCGGGCAGTTTCGAATGAAGCGCGCCGTCAGTTTGCCGAACACCATTGCTAACGCTGTGGTGAGCATCAACTTTTGATGTTTTTAATGTGGCCATCTCAGGCTCAAATGGCGAGCACACCAACGAGTCAACGGGACGAGGAGGCGAGACGGCTAGGTATGGCCTGGCTTAACTTTATGGTTCTAATAATTAATATTGGGAAGAAGCTTTGGCTGGGATCAGATCCTTTGTTCGAGTCGATCGGGCGGAGGAGCCGGGCTTAAGCCGGAGTTCATTCCGATTAAATACAAATTACGGTAGCTCTGTCGCTTGTATTGGTTCGGAATTTTGACCCGGGTGGATTCTGGCCAATACATACAAAAAGATCCTTTGTAGTTTGTATTGGTACGGAATTTTGGGCCGGCAAATACAAACTACAAGAGGACTGTAGTTTGTATTGCTTCGGAATTTTGACCAGGCTAAATTCTGCCAATTACAAGCAGCCTGTAGTTTGTATTGATCCGGAACTTCGAACCAGTCTAAATCCTGGCTCCTGCTCCCCGCTGGGCGGGCCTCCCTAACCGGCCATCCTCACTCATCATTCATTCATTTCCACTAACCGGCACCCCTGATGTTTTCAGCGCGACCCACCTTCCTAAATCTGAAAACGAAAAAGTGTAGGTTTCCCCCCGGCCGTCCAATCGGCGTGTGTGACGACCCGAAAATACGCGTAGTAGCCACCGGGGATTGTTGCCGGGGTTTAGGGGCAAATACAGACTCGAGAATACGCCAAACTACGATTTTTTTACAAAATTTAGCACGATAACAGTAGTTAAAAATATGACCAAATTGTCTTCTAAAAAGTTTCGTTTTCGTTTTGCTTAGTTTTCATTTCATTTTATGAAGGAAAGTCAACAAAAACTTTAAAGAATCCAATAAGTAGGTTTTTGTACAAAAAATAGGTGAATTTTTCTGGCATACATATTTCTAAACTGGTTTTTTACCATTGCTAAACGCAAAAAGTGTACAAAATTAATAAAAAACGTAAAAATATCGATTTTTCGACAAAAATTAAAATTCTTTTGAGTTTTTAGATGGTTTTTCCTGTTTAAAGGGGCTCTGGCAGCAGGCCCCTTTTTCCACGATTCGTGGAGGCGTCGCGGTCGGGTGCGTCGCGGCAGGGAGAGAAAGAGCGCGCCCGGAGGCGAGACGCAGACAGAACTCTGCGTCTCTGCCCGGTCCCCAAAATGCCGTAATCGGTGTGCTGCCAGAGCCGCTTTAAATATGGCAAAGTTTTTTAATAAAACGATTAAAACACTTGATATGATGTTCCTAGACATTTCTGGGCTTACAGGGAAAATTACTGCCGCCCCCGATAATGCAAAAGAACCTAAAAAGAGCTGCACCATTAGGTTTTTGTCCCCCTCAAAATAGAACAGTACCACGATAACCCTTCCAAAATGAACAAAAATAACTTTCTAACAACCCCGGCAACAATTCACCGTTTCCCCCGAACCCTTGTCCATCCCAAAATCGTAAGCGTTCTCGTGCTCTAACCCAACCCCCCCCCGAAAAACGTGTTTTGTTGTGTATCGAAGCCGTGCGTCGTCACGTCACATTAAATTCCGCCCCACTACCGTACCCTCTAGTAGTACAGTACACCCCGATAAGCATGAGAGTGCCCCCTGAAACCCCCGAGTTGATGTGTGAATTTTGCCGCGCGTTGTCGTGCTGCTCGGCCATAACCCCCGTTCGGAGTTTCATTATATTTTTTGGATTGTTTGATTGATTTGATCGTTTGCGTTCGTTCGGTCGGATAGTCGAGTTTTTTGGCGAGGACGTTATTTTGATTCTTTATTTATTTTTGAGCAAGAGAGTTGGATTTGGCTTGGCCGTGGTGAAAGAGCGCATTTTAGTGAACAGCCTCGTGTCGCCGTTGGGTGAGCGGTTGTCGGAGATTGATGAAGAGGTGGGATTTTAGTGCATTGACGAAATAGATTGTTGGGAGTTAATTAGTAATATTAAACAAGCGTATTAAACTTATTTTAATTAACGTAACAACAGACGCTTTTTCAGGGCCTTCGGGATCAGCCGATCCGATCTTCCACGGTTCCCGAAGCGCTGCAAACGGTAGGAATAGACAAAAGATAATTTGAATTAGCGTTTTTTTTAATTTTTAATCAATTTAACTCGAAAAAACTGCCGGTTAACCGAAACTATTTGAATTCAACTTTTTTTAGCTAATTTCGAAGATAAATTTATCAATTTACAACCTATTGTAGCGCATCTTATTTCCTATCTAATTACGTCTCAATTAATGTAATTTTTAACCGAGTGAAAAAATTTGCTAATCATGTTAGAATTACAGGTAAAAACTATTGATTTAATTTTCAACGGCAATTTTTTTCAATTTTCAAATATCGATTTATGAATTTATAAACAATTTGGGGATTTTCCAGTCAAAAACCTCATAGAAATAGGCTTCTTCCTTACAAGACGTTTCAGATGCTCGACGGTAACGGCAACTCGACCTCGCTATTCGCCAGCATCTCGTCCACGTCATCCGGCGTCAGCTCGGGCGTCGAGGAAACGATCGGTGTACCCGTTGCCTAGCCCCGTGAACATAAAAGACCCCAAAAACAACTCGAATTCAGTATTATCCCAGTCTCAACCCCGAATCTCTGTCGTTCCGTCCCGGTGAACACCTCCCCAGCGCGCCCTTCAACTTGATCGTGTACTATTATTGTTTGCAAAAATAGAATGTGAAACGTATTAAATAAAGGAATACCTTATGTAAAAAAACACGGTTTTAGAAAAATGCAGCTAAATTTTAAATCCAAAACTTTTTAGAAAAATTACAAAAATGCTTGAAAATCCGGATTTTGGTCGAAAACTCGTTATTCTTTATCCTACCTTATATAATTTGGTCGCGTATCTTTGTCTGTGTGTATGTGCGGAGGTCAGTTTCGAGGCCAGATTTGAGGGCCTTCCCGTGTCCAAAACGCCCCAATTCTCCGTCACTCGGGGAATCGACCCTTCCTCTTTTTGATGGTGCTTTCAGAATTCCGATAAAATCCACGTTTACAAAGTTAAAGCCAGTTTTATTCATTTTTGGGGTTCGGGAGGGCTAATTTGCATAATGTGAAAAAATACAAATTTCCTCATTCTTGCAATTTGCACGCGCGTGTGGTCGGTGGGGGTGGGGGCGGGACCGTATCGGCAATTTTCATGAGGGCCGAGCCAGGCAGGCGGAGGGGTTTTGGGGCTGGTTTACTTAATCAAAGTTTGTAACGTTTTGAGCTAGGTACAGCAAAAAAACTGCCGAAAGAATTCTATATAAGGAAAATTGGATACTACCGAAAAGTTTGTCCACCCTCCGATATTGCAACAGTACTAAAAATGCAAATGTGTGTGGCATCCCATTTATCTCCCATACACAGCACAAAAGAATGTTTCTATTGTTCCGAAGAGAAATGAGAGGGAGTGAGAGAGAGAGGGATACAAAATGGTGGGATCATGGAGCGGGGGGTTGGGGGGAGGGATGGAATGAGTAGGTATCGTGCACACGTCGAGTAGAGCTGCCGGAAGTCAGGGGCCGGGTGCACGCGGCTGACTCGTGGCGGGTACCAGTGTGTGGCCGTTGTTGCGGTGAGCTTCTACGCTTGGACCGAGTCCTGAACAAGACAAATCATAAAATTTGCATAACAATAAAAAAACAGTTTTTTCATAGTGATTTTGGTGAAATTTAATCGCATCTAAAATAGAACTTTTTAATGTGGAAAATTGTCTAACAACGTCGAATTTCAGTGATATAGGTTGAAAAACCTAGTATTTTTATTATGGGTCCGCGTTCGTTTAGTAACGGAATTTAAAGTGATTTTTTATTGTTTTTTTTTTGAAAGAATTACAAATTTTAACTAAAGTTTAATGTTATGGAAAATGTATGAAAAATCGAAATTTCGGCTGTTTTAGGTCGAAAAGGATTCTAGCAACGAAATCGAAACCCGAGCTCCAAAATCGCCCACCAAATCAGTCTTGGCTTGCACAGATTCGGCGGGCTTCTCCTCCTCGCCCTCCTTCTTCTCCTCGTCGTTCTGGGCCGTCGACCTGGCCTCCTTCGATTCGCCGCCTCCGCCGCCCGACTTCTTCTTCTTGCCCTTGCCTTTCTCGCCACTAATGTCACCGCCGGACGACCTGAAAAGCAGTTTTTTTTCAGGACAGTTTCTCACTCCCCCTACTTGTTGCAGCTGATGACGACGAACAATCCGATGACGAACAGAAGCACGGTCACTCCGCCAAAGATTCCTAAAATGGGAAACGATGTTGATCTACCACAAGAAGTCACTGACCAAAAATGACACCAAGCGAGGGTTGCTCTTCCTCCAGAGCCGCGTCGGGGAACACTCCAGCGCACACCTTTTGCTCCTCAAGCTCGCTGGGTGAGCCGGTGCATGGGGGGATTGGCAGCTCGGCGGCCTTGTGCGTGCCGAACGGGTGGGTGCGGCAGTTCAGCCAGGGGTCACTTTCGATGTATTTCTTGCGCTGTTCCTAGAACACTAGTTTTAGCTACAGAAAGAAGCTGGTAAGAGTTTACTTTACCCCCCCACAGCCGAAGGGTCTCAAAGTTTTCGGTATTTTCGCCTATTTTGTTCTTATTTTTGGGGCAATTAACATTATGCAGAAATTTCGGTACGCAGAAATCCATTAGACAGAAAACCGTTATACCGAAAACCCATTACGCAGAAAACCATTACACAGAAAATCCATTACGCAGAAATCCATTAAGCCGAAATCCATTAGACCGAAATTACATTATACCGAAATCCCATTACGCAGAAAATCACTACGCAGAAAAACTATTACGCAGAAATTCAGTATATAGAAAAAATATTTCGCAGAAATTTGTTACCCCAACCGTTCCACTCCCATAAGATTCTATATACAAAAAAAAAAGTTGTATCCGCGGTCGTTGAGGTTGTTTCCATCATTGACTGCTATCTTGATTGATATCTGCCTTTACCCAGTCAGATAGTCATATCGGTTCGCAAATTGTGCGAGACCCGATACTCACCCTCCTCTCTAGACTTCTTGAAACAAATTTTGAAAACTTGCTCCGAATCCTGTTTGCTAACTTTCCCGGATTTTATCCACCAAGTTTTTTGCCTTATGATGCGTTGTCATCAACTCGGAAATTTCCTGCAAAGAGAATTTTTCCTTGTACGGAAATTTAGGTATAATGGTCTTCTGCGTAATGATTTCTAGGTAATGTATTTCTGCGTACTGGTTTTTCTGTATAATGGTTTTCTACGTAACGGATTTCTGCGTATTGAAATTTCTGTGTATTGAAATTTCGATATAATGGGTTTCTACATAATGGTTTTCTGCATAATGGATTTTCGGCATAATGGATTTCTGCGTAATGGTTTTCTGCATAATCAATTTTCGGTATAATGTTAGTAAATCTTATTTTTGCAACGCCATTCGATAGAGCGTCGAAAAATATACTAAGGGCTTTAATTTGAGCCTACATTAATGTAAAATAAAAAAAGTTATAGCCAAAAACTTCCGGCTGGGGGGGGGGGGTAAAGTAAACAGTAGCCCATCAATTTTCGAGGATAATTCCATTTTTCATTTTTTTTTGAAAGGTCGCTTAGATGGCTTTGTCGCTTAAAGTATGGATAAATTTTACTAATGATTTAATAAATTCCCCACCATGATATCCGGCCGCTTGGTAATATTGTAGCAGCGCGGGTACTTGAGGTTACTCGTGTCGGTGGGCGCCGGGCGGTCGGCTGCCTCGGCCAAAGTCATCGCCGAAAAGTCCTTATCGTCCAGCCAGTCGGCGAACGGGCCAGACTAAAGCCCTTCGTTGATTAGCCAAGGCCAAAGCAAAACTTACAAAGCTGTAGGGGAACGAGCCGATGTACACAGGTGCCTTGTCGATGATGACGCCCGGCCAGATACAGTCTTCACGGTCATCCTTGATCCCCCCTTCACTTCGGCCTCGCCCTTTGTAGTAGCATAGCTCGTTGCAATACGTCGGCTTCTCAAATTTCATGCCCAGTTCGGCGAGGATAGCAGGGAGATACCGTCCGCTTTCGCTAGAAAAAAAGGGTGTTTCGTTCCGTCGAGGCCTGAATACGCATTTTTTTTATGCTGGATCTGCCGATCTTTCGCGAAAAAGGGCCTTTTATGCCGTAAAAAAGTTTGTTTGGAATTTAATGGAGTTGGGTATATTGAACCTTCCGCGTAGTAATTTAATGCCCCAGAACAGCCGGTGAAGGACACCCACACATCAGAGCAGATCGGGGCCAGGGGGCATGGCTTTCTTCCGTGGTGCTGGTGTTGATGATGGTCGGGGCAAAGGCCCCCCGGGCGTAGAACATCCCAATCTTCTCCTTCGCCGGCCACCTCCAATGCCTCGGGCAGCATCCCGGCCGCCTGATGGATGTTGAAAAGGCACGACCAGGCAGACTTGGCGCCGGTGCGGAGGCTTCTGAAAATTCCACGGCCGCTTTCACAACATCGGAGGGGATTTATCGGCGGGGTTTTCCTGTCAGTCTAGAAATCCCTAGCAACTTAATCTTAAGTATTTTAATACCTTTTTGGGTAACATATCGCTATATTTCTTACTAGAATTTCTTTCCTTTCAGCATAAAAATAGAAATTTTCTCGTTGATATTTTGGTCGAGAAATCGATTAAAAATCTGTAAAGTTTTGATCTTTCGGTAATTTCCGAACATTCAAAAGCACTCACTTTGGCATCACATATCCGGCGTCGCACATGGGCACGTATTTCGGAGATAGGGTCAGCTGGGCCGGGTTGAACTTTTCGAACCTGGAACAGATATAGTGAGGCGTAAAAAGAATACCTGTCAGCTGGGCAACTGCCAGCAATAATCATTTGTCTCGTGCAAAAGTTGAACGGGAATAGGATATATTCCCAATTTTTGTCTTTTTCATCGCCTTCCTTCTGCACGACCAGTTCCAAGTCGATCAGCGATTGCACGGGGTCGGTTTGATACACCCAGCCTCGGTCGAGTCTGGTTTCTGAAACAAGGCTTCTCGAAATGAATGGGCAGGTACGTTTCCGTGCTGGATCGGTATTTGGGGACCAAAATTTAGTGAGGGGGTCTAAAATCATTCTGTTTTATGTTCCATGATACCTAATTACGAAAAATCTGCGTTTTTATCCTTTTTATAGGTTTAGAAAAAGTTGCAGCCAGCAATTTGCAGTAATTTTTAAACTTTATAACTTTTCAAAACCTGTTTGTATACTTCAAGGCAGGTAGGAATGAGTGATCAAAGTCCCCCCCCCCCCCGCCAGAAAGTTTCTAACGCTAAACACCTCAAAATGGACATACGCAAAACAGCGCGGTCGGATCGCATTCGGCTATCCAGTTCTTGGCCCCAGACTTGTCGGCAAAGACATGCCCAAGTTCGCAGGCAGGTGCTTGGCTGTAAAAATGGTTGTAGAAAAGGTTCGATACGGATTACCATCCTTCAGTGGACTTTTTGCAGAGCTCGGGATCCGGGACCGGAACTTTCATGCCCTGCGTTATCATCCATTCCTGGGTGTAGCATACGAACGGATATTCACACTGAAACCGGCACATAAAAAATACAAAGCTATTTTTCGATGCAAATGACCGTTTTTAGGCCAGGCTTTGAGCATAGCAAGTTTTCTAGGTCTTATAAATAGTTACTTTTAGGAGGGAAATGCTATGAATTAATACCGTGGTCGGGGCCGGCGGCTCGGTCGGGGGAGCGGTCGGGGGCTCGCTTGGGGGAGCGGACGGAGGGTCAGGCGAAGCTGTGGGTTCTTCCTGGCGTCTCACTCGGGCCTGGAACGCCGAATCGCCAACCCTGTAAATCCTCGTTGAATCAATATATAAGGCGAGCAGAACATTAGTCAAGAAAAACCGACCCATCGGCGAGCAAGAGATGAGTGAACAGGGCGAGCACGAGGGCCGAGCCGAATGAGCGAACCATATCGTTGAGAAGCGAGCTAGGTGCTATATCCTTGCGATTCGGGCTCTCCAAAATGTGATTTCCGGACGACGCTTGTTTATGCAGGCATTTAATTCAAAATCAGAGATTAAAAGTTTATCACCGTCATTACAATCTTTCCAAGCAACAAAACAAATTGGAAAAGACCAGATAAATTACAAGGCACATGAGATCCAACTAACCGCAAATGAAGAAACAAACAAAGAGAAATCAATCGCTAAATTCCAAATCCGACACATCGTCCGCATAAGTGTCCAGGCCGATATCACTAGGCGCGTCGTCGGGCTCGGCGCGCGCCGTTGAAGCCGTTTCCTCAGCTCGCGTATGCTCGATATGGCCCTCGATGGACAACAGGCGCAGCTTCAACTCGGCGCCCTCGATCGATTCTTGATTACGCTAAAAGAAACTTGAGTTTGACCGAAGAGTTTTTGACTTTGACACTGACCACTGTTTTCTGCACGCGGCTAATGATCCTGTTGAACTTCTTGCTGTCTCTTGCGAGGGCAACGACACAGTGACAGCAGGCCAAGTCCGTGATCGTGAATATCTCGAGGTACGTCTTGACCTAAACCTGGCGTTGAGACCACGAGAAGCCACAAACTCACGTCAAAATGGGCTTCTTCGAGTGCCTCGTTGAAAATGTGCAAATGCTGAGCGACGTAGTCTTCCTTCGAAAGGTCCTAAACGCGATATCAAGGCGTACAAGCAAATTAACCTCGAGTGGAGTGACGGCCAGCTCCTCGCGTTCGGTCTTTTGAATCAGCGTCGAGGAGAGCACCGGCCATACGGCCACGCAACCGCAAGCGGCTTGACGTAGGATTCGGACGCAGCTCCTAAAAAATAAGAAATCTCCGCAAAGCTGCAATTTACGTTGACAAATGCTGGTCTTGCGTCAAATGGCCGAAGATTGCCGCAAATTCGTGCATTATAATGCGCTGCCGTCCTTGTTCACAGTCTAGCAACTAAAAAACTAGCTTCAAAGGATGTGTAAATTTACTTTCTCGACGACCCCAATCAGCTTCAGATGCTCGTAGTTCGAAAGGCCTTGTCGACACAGGGCGAACAAGAGAAGGGCCGCCTGAGGGGGCTTCAGATCCTCGAGGTTGTATGCCGTCAACATATCCATCGTGTTCCTCACCTAAAATGTTTGGGTTCATACGCAATATCGGAATGCCTATATTTTAAAGATCTTTCTAGCCTTGCTCGATTTTTTTTGGCCGGAAATATAGCTAAATTCCATGATAAGCACAATCAAACACCTAAATAGCCCCCTGATCATGCAAAAGCCCCATTTATGTTGAAAAGTTGTATATTGCATTACATTACGCTGTATCTCTTCCTCGAGTGTCGGTTCATCAGGCACTGTCTGTCGCCGTTTCGAGGAAACTTTTTCCGGTCGTTCGGTGTCCTTATAAACCTGTGGAAGCCCAGCTTGTCGCAAGTTCAGTAAATAACTAAACCACAAGTTATTTCCCTTAGAAAAACATACGCTTCAGCTTCTGGAAACACTTCTCCAGGGGGCAGCAGTGCGTTGATCTTGCAGCCGGCTGCACGCGCAATCCACGCCAAGAACTAAAAACAAACGTAGCAAAAAGATCTGAGAGTACCATCGACAGTAACGAATCAGAGTCCAGCGGCTGGTCGCTTTTCTTGACGTGCTCACTAACATCCGAGATGGCTCGCCGGAAAGAATCATACATCGAGTAGCTGTTCGAACCACACAGAGACGCCTAAAGAAAATCTTTGAAAGTGTCTGGCAAGTACCTCAAACCCATTCAGGGTGCCTTTCAGGTTCTTGAGGTCGGCTGCTTTGGCCAAGAGGTGATCTAAAATTTGATTCGATCCAAAGAATAATAACCTACAATTTTCCGTTCCGAGAATGGAGGAAAAGGGGTCCCTTACGGTCTAGAAGTTCCCTTTGAAAAGAGACCCGAAAAAGCATACCTCTTGCTTCTTCTCTGCCGGGGCCGGAGTCGCATGCATGGCTTGTTGATGTTGGGCATCTCGAAGTTTACGTTGATCCCTGAATTCAAAAATAAATTAGGGAGTACAAGGGTGGAAACTGAAAAACAACTTCCAAAAGTGGCTCACATTAGTTTCTTCAACGCGTTTTTCTCCTCCATCCTTTTGCGAGCTGCTTCAGCGATCTTGGCCGCAGCAGCCTCCTGCTGCCTTTTCTTATGTGCGGTCTAAAAGAAAATACTTTGGCGGTCGAGAAACAATTACCAGGATTTCCGTTTTCGTTCGATTTCCGTCTTCGTTTGACATCTAAACTCCATATTTTTTGAAAAGTTTACGGAAAGAAAAGTTATAGAAGTCAACGCGTTATCAAGGGGCTCCTGCAAATAACGCTCTTTTCATCGCAATCTGGGCGCGAAATGAATGGGGATGTCATTAGAGGGGCGCGAAAGGGCTGTTAAATATGGGTTACCGTTAAAGAATCGAAATTAGGGGCTTAAATGGGTAACAAATTGCAAAAATGTAAAAACAGTTTTGCCTTTTGGCGCAGCAAAATCGGGGGCGAGGCGTAATGTAAACAAAGGCCCCGACCGCCTCGTCGATGGGCGTGCGGTGTACAAATTACTGTATTAACGCCAAACTAGAAAAAATATACCATTGGCTTCTTCTCTGCCGGGGCCGGAGTCGCATCCATGGCTTGTTGATGCTGGGCATCTCGAAGTTTACGCTGCTCCCTGAATTCAAAAATCAATTAGGGAGTACAAGGGTTGAAATGAAAAACAGCTTCCAAAGTGGCTCACATTATTTTCTTCAACGCGTTTTTCTCCTCCATCCTTTTACGAGCTGCTACAGCCGATCTCGGCGGCCACAGCCTCCTGCCGCATCATCATACGTTCGGCCTAAAAGAAAATACTTTGGCGGTCGAGAAACAATTACCAGCTTGTTCTGCGGGCCTGTGTCTTCTTTGGGCATCTAAAGACCATATTTGTGAAAGGTTTCCAGAAAGAAAAGCTATAGAAGTTAACGCGTTATTAAGGGGCTCCTGTAAATAACACTCTTTTCATCGCAATTTGGGGCGCAAATAAATGGGGATGTCATTAGAGGCGCCCGAAAGGGTCGTTAAATATGGATTACCGTTAAAGAATCGCAATTAGACGTTTTAAAAATGGGTAATAATTGCAAAAACGTAAAAAGTTTTGCCGTTTGCCGCAGCAAAATCGACGGCGAGACGTAATGTAACCAAAGGCCCCGGTCCCATCGTCGATAGGCGCGAGGTGTACAAATTACTGTATTAAGTGGCGCCGAGGCGCACAAATGGACCGGCAGTACTTTTTGGGGGTACGGTATCTTTCTACCGATCCACGCTTTAGGCACCGAAAAATTACGACACCTAAATACAGCATTACGCAACGTTGTACTCACTCTTTTTCACGTTATTTAGTAGTTTTTGCATGAGAACGGTTGATAACAAAGCTTTATTGATGCAACAACGGGGGAATAACAATAGACCGGTAGACCGGTAGACCGCTTTTTCGTTCAAATTTATAAAAGTAGACCGGTATCGGGGCTTTATTGCAGCTTTTTTAACCCGGTTTTTAGTCTTTAATGGAATTTTAGTTATTATTTTATTAAACTTTTTCTATTTGATACTGTTCTACTTTCGCGTTCTTTGTTTGAAACATTATCTAATAATTAGCGCTCTTCCCGTAATTCTTTGGCTTTCGTGTATTATATTGATTTATTCCTCGTTTAATACTTTGTTAGTAATCCGTGGTATTTAAAACTACATTTAGTGGGTAAATACTTTAAATAGCATATATTTAGACTAGTTTAATAACATACCGATAACTAGCGTCGTTTTCCGTGCCTTATGTGTAGTAGTTCGTGCTTCTACATCACCAGAGCGTGAAAACGATTATTCAAAGTGAAAAACCGACAGTAATGGGGAATATACCTTTCTGTAAACCCACCGATTTCCAGTTCAAGGATATGTGGTACAAAGGAAAGAAACTATAATAGTATTATCATACTGTTAAATGAAAGACAAAGCTGTAGAGGTTAGGATATTACTACTTTACCATACGAATAGTTGCTATTTAAAGTATTAACCAACATTACTAAAATATAAAAACCACGAAATACTAAAAGGTTGGACGAATACCAGGAAGAAATTATTGTAACAAAGGAAAAGCGTGGGAACTACGGAGATAACGCGTTTTGTGTAGATAACGTTTCAAATAAAATCTACCGGTCTACCGGTCTATTGTTATTCCCCCGTTGTTACATCAATAAAGCTTTGTTATCAACCGTTCTCATGCAAAAACTATAAATAACGTGAAAAGAGTGAGTACAACGTTGGTAATGCTGTATTTAGGTGTCGTAATTTTTCGGTGCCTAAAGGTGGATCGGTAGAAAGATACCGTACCCCCAAAAAGTACTACCGGTCCATTTGTGCGCCTCGGCGCCACTACTGTATTAACGCTAAACTAAAACGCAATTTTTGTTAAATCTTTTTTAGGCAACCTGGCAAGGGCAATGGAAAAGAAATGGAAAAGACCCTCTAAATAATGCTTTTCCTGGAAAGGACACCCTTGAAAATGTAATTTTGTTACAAGGGAAGCACCTATGGTCGCGGGGCGTTTCGGGATGGGCCCATCCTTTTTAAAAATGCAGAATTTTTCGCTGATTCCAAATCCGGTTCCGTTTTTTAACAAATAGCTCGTTTTAGAAAGCTATAGCGTTTCAAATTTCAATTTTTGCCCCTATTTGCAAGCTTAAAAGTCATAAAATAACAAAATATATACAACAACTTAAAATTTTCTCTCTGGTAAGAGCCTTATATTGTAAACTGTTGAAATCGTACCTTTGTTTTTTCTTGATTCCGGGAGATTCCAAATGACGACGAGTCCCGCACCGCGCGTTCCCGCTACGGGTCTAGGCCCGTGGCATTGGGAATCGCGCGGAACGGACGTTCGGCGTTTCGGATTTTTGCGTAATTCCCGACAGGACCAGCGCTGGTTGATTAATATTTTCAATTGCACGAAACGTTGGGTGGAAACAAATTCCGGGGATTCACACCTCTTTCGGATCAGTGACCACAGGCCCAGCGCCGTATCCAAGGTTTCAAGGTCAATCCGCCCGGTTTTACGTTTCACTTTTCCAGGACCAAACCTTGGCAACCACCGGGGCGACGAGACACCCAATTTGGAGAATCGTAGAAAGTCTTGTCGAGGTTGTTGGGGAACAGTGAGTGAACGAAAGAAGGGTGAGAAAGGTGTGTCCATCTTCTTTTCGCTTTTTATCAATCGGCTCCTCGATTCGGGGCAGGCATATCTCGGGGGGCAGCAGTCCATTTCTAGCTAGGATATTGTTGTATTGTTAGCCGAGGCAATGGTCAACCGATTCACCATCACGCGTTTTGTACTTATTTTTGTTTGCTTGCAGGTTGTCGTGGCGGTGAGTTTTAGGCTTGAATTTTAGCCGACACGAGTCTAGTTTTCTACGCCAAATTTAATAATAATTGAGCGCTAATTAAAAAGTAATCTTAAGAGGCGGAACAACGTTTATTTTCAGTTTTTTTTGTATGTATTATATGTTACTTTTTCAGCAATTTGACGAGGTGACATGGCTGGGACGAATTCGGGCGTTAAAAGCTGTATCTCCATTAGTTAAGGTAGTCGATAATTTGGTTATTTTTATGCATATTTGAATGCTTTTAAAATATAACTTGTTTTCCACTAGAAAGCTGCGATCATCGGTGTTCCTGAGGGGTCTTTGGTAGTGGACGCCGGCGGTTTTGGCGTAAGTTATGTACTCTTTACGCAATTCTTTCCAAACACAATGTAAATATATAAATTTTAGGGTACCAAGGAAGAGCTAAAAGCCTTGGCAACGTCACTGGGGCATGTTAGTCAAAAGGCGGCGTCCGGGGATAGTGCGATGGGTCTGGATGGGCTTCAATTTACCATCCAGCTGCCCACTACCGCTTCCGGGGTCTCCGACAAAGGCGATGCCATCTATTTAGCTAGGGCTGAGAAAGGTAATTTTAATTATACGTCTCTTTAAAGGCTTAATTTTAACAATACAACTTTTTTAGCTTATAAAATACAAAATTTAGCAATCGTTGTCACGATCTGCGAAGGCGGCGAGACCCCGGATGAGGTGAAGCTGGCCGTCGAAGCGCTTGCCGCCGAGCTGGACAAGCAAAACTTTTGGCGCGCGTAATTGATCTCTTCAGGTATAAAAATGTGAATTTTAATGTAAGATTAATTTGAAAACAAGACGAATAGATGATAAGAGAATAAATAGCTTTATCACAATAAAAAGAATGATCTGTACATACCTAGTAGTTGTTTTACCTCTAATTCCCGGTCAGAAATTCTTTAGAAAACAAATGTTTTTACTTAAATTGTTTTAATAGACCGTTTTTTTAATATAATTAGCGTTTAATAAGTTAAGGTTGTAAAAAATATTCATTTTAAAGCATTTCTGGCCAGGAAAAAAAGGAAAAAACGGTCTAAAAATTGACGTTCTTGAAATCACCACAACCGGCACTGCTTCTTGTTGACCATTGGTGAGTTATTTGGGCAGCCGAAGGCGACGGCAAATTCCGGGGCATTCCCGAGGACGATATTTACGCGTGCGGCCGCTGGACTGTGCACATCTTCGACGAGGTCCGTCAAAAGTGTCTCGTTCCGCCAATTTCCGCACCATGCCTGTAGGTAATTATAGCGTAAGGTTTTCACTACGAAATTTTTGACGTGTTCTTCCCCTGAACTTACATAAGCCGAGCTCATGAAGAAGATCTGGATTGGGCTGTACTTCTTCAGCTCGGGCGGGATCTTCTGGGGTTCAACTTGGCCAGCGCGGACGAGTTTTTCAGCCGCTCTTAGCGCGGCGCGCAAGCCGCCGTTGTCTGCGATGTTTTCTCCGAGGGTTTTGTAGCCGTCGATCTAAATCGATGCATTAATGGGCGTCTTAAAGGGAAGTGCAAGGCAACTATGCAATGAATTTTAACGGTGTAACCGATTACGATATTTATGTAACGGCGTAGCGTTTCGAACACTCGCGTAGCGTTGAGAAAAATCCTTAGCCAGCCAAATCCCCACTCACCTTCATCTCCAGCGGTTCGACCGTCACATTCCCATACTGCTCTATGAAGCACTTTTTTGTCTGTTCATAGTTTTTCAGCGTAGTCGCGTCCCACCAGTTTTTCTTGTTCCCCTTTTCGTCGAATTGAGAGCCTGAAGTTTAAACTTTAAGCTAATTACCGTACCCCTACCGTAGTTATCAAAGCCGTGCGTTAACTCATGGCCGATCACAAGGCCAATGGAGCCGTAATTTTGTATTCTCGGGAATGTGATGTCGTAGAATGGGGATTGGAGGATACCGGCAAGGAGAGCTGAATTTGGCGTTTTTAGGTTCTATTAAATCGTATCCACCCACCCATCATATTTAAATTCGGGTCATAGTACGCGTTCGTCTCGCTCGCCAAGAAGTCAAACGAATCGTTCGCATTCGTCCGGAGCAGCTGCCGGAAATTCCGGTCGGCGTTCCACCGCGCTATCGCCTGGGTGATCTGGAGCAGCGTCTGTGAGCTCGAGTAGTCCAGCTAAAACACGAAAAACTATAAAATTCCTCCATAAAACGCGTACAGTCTCGTACTTCTCGGCGGTGGCCGTCTGGTTGAAGATGATCGGGTTGAAGCCGATGAAGTTGGTGATGGCATTGGCCTGAGATTATAGGGTATGGGTGAGAGGGGGGGGGGGGGAGAGAGGGGAGAGGGAGAGAGAGAGAGAGAGAGAGCGAGTGAGAGAGCGAAAGAGAGCGCGGGTGAGAGAGATAGAGCAAGACAGCGAGAGAGAGAGAGAGAGAGAGAGAGAGAGAGGGAGGAGAGGGAGAGAGAGAGAGAGAGTGAGATAGAGAGCGAGCGTGCAAGCGAGAGGGTACAGAGAAAAACCCTATACCTTAACCCTAGCCGCCGATTTCGTTTTCTCATCCATCCACGTCGTCTCTTCCAAAATTTCCAGAAAAGCAGCCTTGATATTCTGCATCATCGCCCCCACCTCATCCACGATTTTTTGCGAAAATTTGCTGGAAATAGGACTAGATAAAAACTTGAATTTCAAGGGGAAGCAACAGTAAGACCCGAATTTAAGGGAGAGAATACTCACTGTTCAATGTAAATCACACTGGCGAGGTCCTGGAAGATTTGGGTGGCCTCGCTGAGGCAGTCGGCCTCGACATTTTCTTCGGTGACTACGCCGTAGATGCGTAGGTTGAATTCCTAAAAACACACTTCATAAATACCGAAAATTCCGTAAACGTACATTGTACGCATCCCGGAATCGTTGGTCCAGGAAGGGAAGCATGCCGAGGATCAGCTGAAATTGAGTGGTTTACAGGGGATGGGGAAGGGAAGCTGGGTAACGCTTGATTTCCTAAAGGCTCTCGGCTACACCTCCCTCCCTACCTTTCCCTCCTGATAATCGAGTAGTGTTTGATTGGGGATCCCAGCCAGAAATTCGTCGACCAGCTTCACAGCCCCATAATTCTCGATCCGGACGGGGTATGCATCAATGTCAACCACCTCTGCCATATCTTTCGGGACGATGGCACGGAAGTAGCGCGTGAAATTGATCTGAAAACAAGGGGGTTATCGAGCATAAAAATGGGTTTATTGATTACCGTATTGATCGAATCGGACAGCTCGTCGAGGCGTACTGTCAAGTCGGTCTTGTTGTCGGCGTTGAAACGGGAGGAAATCTAAAAAAACAACCGTTCAATGGTTTTTGGAAGTCTCTCATGGGTCGTATCTCGCTCTTTCGCTCTCTCTTCTCTCGCCCTCTCTCCTTTTCTCTCTCTCTCTCTCTCTCTCTCTCTCTCTCTCTCTCTCTCTCTCTCTCCCTCTCTCCATATCTCTCAATGTCTCACTCACTCGCTCGGGCTATCTCGATCTCTCTGTCTCATTCTCTGTCTTTTTCTCTCTCTCTCTCTCGCTCTCTCTCTCTCTCTCTCTCTCTCTCTCTCTCTCTTTCCTCCTTTTCTCCCACCTCGGCCAACTTCTTGTCGACGTAGAAAAAGTTAGCCACACTCCGGTTGATGCCGTCGGCGTGAATAAATTCGCCCTGCTCGTCGTCGTCGGCCAACAATTGGAAGATCTTCTTAAAAAATGTGCGCGCCTCGCCGAGTTGACTCTAAAATTCCCTTAAAAAATTGAATAATTGGTATTACCTCGAATATTGGTGCCGTGTAGTATTGATAGTTGAGGAGGGGTGGTTGGGGGCGATCTGAAGGGAAAGATTTCATAGTTTTTGGGCAGGCTAGCAGGGTTTTTTGGGAAAAACTGCAAGCGGCTATCAGCCTTGAAGAGGGCCGAAAGGGGTACTGGCAGAGATTTTTGAAACTGGGCATGCTAGCCGAGACCCTTTGAGGAAAGGAAAGAAAAAAAAAGGGGGGGGGGGGGAAGGAAGGCCAGATTAATTCAGTTTGACCACCCATTTAAACCCACGTTCAACACGTTTCGCGTCGAGTTGTACAAGTCCGGCACCACGGCCGCATCGAAAAATAGCGTGGCTGGGTAGCTGAAGATCAGGTAGTCGGTTAAATACGGTAACCGGGCTGCGCGGATTTTTCTAAAAGTCGCTTTCCGGTTTTTTGGGATATCGGGACTAGCCTGAGCATATCAAATAGCGGCTTGGATTTGAGGCGCTCTTGGGCCTCGCGGTCGATGCACTTCTCGTAGAAGTTGTACATCAACCAGCGTTCCCTGGACTGCTTGAAGAAGCGGGGCTCGTCGAAGAGCTCTGGAATTTGAGGCAGTTATTGAAGGATATTTGTTAGATAGCTCTCTCTCTCTCTCTTCCTCTCTCTCTCTCTCTCTCTCTCTATCGTTCTCTCTCTCTTACCTTGATATTCATAATTAACATTTTGAGTAATTATATCCGTTGCAGATACAGACAGCTCTGAATCCCCAAGAGGATTCTCCTCCTTCCACCCCGAACACACGAATTCGTAGAAATTCTGGCACGGGTCCAGGGCGGGATTGATCGAACGCGCCAATCCATTTGACTCCTTCTGCTTTTGATCATCTGCAAGTTGCGGATTTTTGCCTTCAATGGCCCTTTAACCGACGCCCAAAACTTAAATAAAACTGACTAGTCAGAATTTGAGCTAATCTACCGAAGATCTGGCCCCTGACGTCGCTGGTGACGTTGAGATTCTGGACGGAAAAGACCCGCGACTTTGTCCTGGCGGTGCCATTTGCGAATTTCTTCTGCGGGAGGATGATGGTGAGGTTTTCGGCGAGGAGTCGGGCGCCGGGCTCGAGACGGAGCAGTTCGGTCAGGGTTAGACTGAAAAATGTCGGAAGAGTAGTGAGGTAAAGTTTGTATTTTTCAAGGTATTTCAACCACTCATGCCACACAAAGCTTAAAAAACTGAGAACTGACAAAACCATTTCTTGAAACGTTAGAATTTTAGAGCGGTGTAACGCCTGGAATTTTCCGTATTTTCGGGTTTTTTTTTGTTTAAAACGTTGTAGCAATTTTTTATCCATATAACTTTCTCTTACCTCTTTTCCGCCTCTTCACCCTCCACGCACAAAAATATCGATATCAAAATCAGCGTCCAACACGAGCGCCACCGCATCGGAGTTCCCAGTGGATGGGGGCGAGAAATAAACACAACGGCCGGGCCACCGCTGTCTAGTTTTGGGAGTCTAGCGTCTAAACCAAAAAAGTATTGAATAATATGACGTACTTGGGAACGAAGTGGAACTGAAACTTTCAGACACGCTTGAAAATTAAAATATAGGTATAGTTGTGGGTCAGCGAGAGAGAGAGAGAGAGAGAAGAGAGAGCGAGTGAGCGAGCGAGTGAGCGAGCGAGTGAGCGTGAGTGCGAGAGTGAGAGAGTGATGGAGAGCTATAGCCAGAGCGAGAAACAGTGAGAACCAAAGAGCGAGAGTGAGCAAGAGCTGAACAAAAAATCAGACCCGTGGGTGGCATAAATCCCTGGGGTAATCGGATTGTCAACATATGGGAATTCGGTGAGGGTACGTCATGCTAGGTGTCAACAATTTGGTGATTCACCGAAAACGAGCGAGCGATAAAGAGCGAGAGAGAGCGGAGAGCGAGAGAGAGAGAGAGAGAGAGAGAGAGATAAAGTGAATCCAAAATTCGCATTTTTTGGGTAACGGTCCTCAACAAATACCTGAAACCCTTTGTCCCCAGGTGGGTCCCGTAACGCCCCAAAAATCGGGGGTCTCGAGTACGTTTCCATACTCGACCCTATGACTCGCTCGAGCCCGATTGACATATTTCATGCCGTTGATCTGCTAAACGCCGCCCCTCCCCTCTATGTCGTTTGTGTATATACACTTTTTTACGGGATGGCAGAGATAGAGAGAGAGAGAGAGAGAGAGGAGAGCGAGAGAGAGTGAGAACGACAGACAGAGAGACCGACACCATAATGGGCTACCGGTTCCCGCCGTGTGGCAATGCCCACAAAATCGCCGGCCAGATAGCCACCGGCGCGGATCAGCTGCAGGGCTGAATGGGGGCCCGGGCGCGCGCGTGCACGCCACAAAACTCGCTCTCGCGCCGTTCGCTTTGCATCCAAAAAGGGCGCAATTGGGGGGCAGGGAATGGGGGTGCGATTAGCTGGATTTTGAATTTTTTTTGCCGGGCGTCCAATAAATACGCTAAAGTGGAGTGGGGCTTTGAGGATAGACATTTTGAAATTGCGAATTTGTCAATTAGAAAAAATTGTGAATAACACACAAAAACCAAAAACCCAACCACCCAAAACCCCAAACAAACAAAAAAAAAAATTTATTAATTTTGACCTTAGTCTGCGCCGGCATACGAGGATGGCAAAACATAAACAGCTAACAGAACAAGGAAAAATCAGACACAGAAGAAAAATGCTGTAGAAAGCCTGGGAAAACAATTCCTAAGGTACTACAACGGGGAAGGAGTGGCCATAGAACGCAGCGTGACCCTTTAATTGGCTCGTAGAGACGGTTATTTGAAGAAAAGAGTGGCTGGATTTCAAACTGCGACACCAACAGATATCGCATCTGTCCAAAAACATAGGACACGCGATTTCACATCTGCGCATATGCGCCTCTGCGTAACCGTTGCTCAAGCCCCGGGCCCAAAAAAATCATCCATATTTTTTCAAATCGATTTTATTCAGAAATTTTAGCTCTAACACATGTGATAACAAAACTTCAAAAAAAAAAACATGAATTTAGGGGTTTGCAAAGTATGCCGCAATGGAATAGTAGTGGACGGTAGCAACCGCGGTATCTCATCGTGACGGGAGACTTCTTAAATACGAAAAATCGGAGATTAACTCTCACATTAACTTAAAGCACGACTACGCCTCGAACCTGTCAACACCTTGCCCGCGCCCCGTTTGAAACCGTAGATCGGATTTTTTATAGCTTTCTGGTCTTCTGAAACCTTCGAGCTTCGCAATTGTTGTGAATTCCCGAATTCTGCTCTTTTGTGCCCGTGTACCTTCCAACCTTGGCTTGGCTGCTGCATTTTTCCGAGCAGCCAAACAGGAGTGGTCTGTGGAATGCCCTCTGGAGTCTCTCTCTCTCTCTCTCTGTCTCTCTATTTCTCTCTCTCTCTTTCTCTCTCGCTCTCTCTCCCTCTCTCTCTCTCTCTCCGGCATTCTCCACTTTTATCTTACAACCCCCGATTCGGAATTGCAGATAAGGCCATATAAAGATCGGTGGCCGGGGGCTGGGTCGCGGACACGTGGTGACCCTCAGATTGTTACTAGAATTTGTCTAGATTCCGTAAAATAGATATAAATAACAATGTTTTTTTAGAGATGAAAACTTGGGCAATTCTTCTATTGCTCTACACGGGTACTGTGGCCGGGAAATGCGCTTGGGATGTGGGTTTTTGTCATCAAAAAAAAAACCCCGGATAGGCGGTTTAAGGACTCTTGTTTTTAAATTAATATGGCTTATTTTCAAATGGTTGTTAAGCGGGAAAAGCCCTTAAATTGAACTTTTTTTAGAATTGCAACCCCAATTCCAACGACAAAAATGTGCTGAACGTCCATCTGGTGACGCATAGTCACGACGATTTGGGATGGTTGATTACGGTGGATCAGTATTATGATAGGGGTACGGTTTTCCGGTACGCTACTGCTAAACGCCATATTTATTTTTTGGGAAAAGGGAGGGGGGGGGGGGGGGGGTTAAGGAATCATTTTTTTTGTAAATTTCGAAAGCTCTAGATCTTGGTTTACGGTTTTTCCAGAAGTTCAGCACATTTACGACAGCGTGGTGGCCGAGTTGGAGAAGGATCCGAGCCGACGGTTAGTTAAAGAGAAAGCGAGAGAGCGGGAGCGAGAGAGGGAGAGAGAGCATGAATGAACGCCTTTCAAAATGCTTTTTTCAGCTTCTCCTTTGCCGAAACGGGATTCCTGATGCGCTGGGTGGAAAGCCGGAATGCCAGTACGGTCGCACGTCTCCAAAAAGTGGTCCAAAACGGCCAAGCCGAGCTGATCGGCGGTGGCTGGGTCCAGAACGATGAAGCTGCTTCTCACTACGTTGATATCATCGACCACATGACCCTAGGGTGAGGCTTAGCGAGCTTAAGTTTTCGAAGCTCATAAAGACGTGAAGCCATCGAAGCTCACCTTCGGGTCGTTTTCAAGCTTCTGAAGCCGATCAAGCCCTAGAAGCTGCATAAACTTATTTTTTAGATATGAGCACTTGTCAACACTTTTTGGAGAATGTGGAGCCCCGAGGGCCGCCTGGCAGATTGACCCCTTCGGGCATAGCCGCGAATACGCAAGCTTGGCAGCACAGGTTTGTAGGAAAAAGCGTCAAAATTAACCTCGAGACCATCAATTTACGTTTTCAAAACAAAAACTCCAGATTAAGGATAAAATCAGACATAGAGTTTCTATTTTTCAAATTCAGATGGGCATGACGTCGCTGTGGTTTGCTCGACTTCACTATTTGGACCGATCCCAGCGTCATACCCAGAAAAACATCGAGTTCAACTGGGTCGGAAGCGATGATTTGAGTAAGTAGAGCTAGTCGAAGAAAGAAGGAGAGTAAGAGAGAGAGTCAGAGGGAGAGTGAGAGAGAGGCAGAAAAAGAGAGATAGAGAGAGTAAGAGAGAAAGAGAGATTTCACAATATTTTCAGAAACGACAATCCTGGGCGGTTCCTTCTTCAACCACTACAGCCCTTTGTCGGGCTTTTGCTTTGATACCGGATGCAACGACGAGGAATTGAATGTAAGCGTCAATTTATGTATATTTAAGCATTAAATGGATTAGCTTAAATAAACCAAATCGGTAAAGCATACCCTAAAAATCTCAAAAATTATTTTAGGATGGTAATATCGATCGGCGAGCCCGTGAATTTATGGATAAAGTCAAAGATCAGGTAGGAGGCTTGAAAACTATAATTTTTTTAATACGCTAATTTTATTTCTATTTTTCTAGGCCTCCCACTACCGCACCAACAACGTGATGCTGACGATGGGCGACGATTTCCAGTACCAGTCGGCCGGCAAGTGGTTCAAGAACCTTGACATCTTGATCAAATACATCAATGCTAATGTGAGGATCTACTGGAGGTTTCTTTAAAGGGGCTAGGAAGGCAAAAATGGAAAAGTCGAGCAATCAGTTGCCTCGATTTTAGCCAGCCATGGGCCTGAATGTGCAATATTCAACGCCAGCCTGCTACGCGGCTGCCCTGCAATCAACCGGCTCGATTTTCCAGCCAAAACAGGACGACTTTTTCCCGTAAGTCGATTTTAAAGGAATGTGGAAGGCTAAAATTACTGTAGATATTAGGCATTATAATCTGACAAAAGTTAAATAATTTAGGTACGCCTCCGGTGATCACAGCTTCTGGACGGGTTACTTCACCTCCCGGCCGACCTTTAAGGGCATGATTCGTCAAGCTAGCTCCTATTTGAATGTAGGTTCACGTATAATTTTGAGTCAGAATTTTATACAGTAATAGACTTTGTAGTCTGCGTTTTAGTTGTAGTTTGTAGTCTTCGTTCTTGGGTGTGGGCTAGACTTCTTTAAAAGTTGTCGCTTGCAGTTTTAGGAGCAAATTTATTTTTTGTAGTTTGTAGTCCGCAGTCGCTAGTTGTAATTTATAGTCTGTACGTAATAGTTGTAGTTTGTAGCCTGTAGCTTTTTTGTAGCCTCCATTGTATAGTTGTTGTTTATATCATGGAAAATTTAGGAACCCGTAAAGTACGATCATTATATCCAATTTTTGCAGCTAGCCAAGCAGCTATCAGCCAATTTCCTCCTTGACGACGGCCCCGCCCTTGAAATTGCCAAGCGGGCCAGCGGTCTTGTCCAGCACCACGATGCTGTCACGTAAGTCATAGGGCGCGTGTTGTACTCGTAGGGGCGCGCTTCGTGTCACGTTTATCCCGGCAACGTCCTCAACGCGTTCAAGCGTAATTCGCGTGAAAATGCCTGAAAAGCGTGAAAATCTATATGATAGTTAAATATCAGTGGCACGGCCAAGCAAGTGGTCACCTACGACTATGCCCAACGACTTGATAAGGGTATCCGACAGCTAGAGGTTTGTGAAATTTCGCGCTGCTGTCACGTTCCCTTTAAAGGTTCTGATCAACGACGCGCTGAAGAGCGCTTCCGGCGGTGCGGCTCCACCGAAACATGTGCTATGTCTGTTGAGTAATGAAACGATATGTGATGTTAGCAAGTAAGGGAAAAGAGAGAGTGCGACAGAGAGAGGGAGAGAGAGCGAGTGAGCACGAGCGATTTCTTATTTTTAGAGCTTCCGGCTCCTATGCAGTCAGCATCTTCAACCCGGTCGGAAAGGCGATGAGCTCCTTCGTACGCGTCCCTTTCTACCACCCTGTTGCCTCGGTCCAAGACGATACCGGCACGGCCATACAGGTCCAGGTCGGTTTGTAGTCTTTTCTAGTTTGTAGTCGAAAGTAAATATATTAAAATTAAATCTAAATTTCCGATGTAGGTGACCGCGGTGCAGTCCATCCCGACACTGTCCTCTCCGGATGCTGCCCCTTACGAGTTGTTCATTCCCGTCCAGCTCGGCCCCGCCGGATTCAAGACGTTCTTCGTCTCGGGCAGTGGGCTGACTGGAAGGTGAGAGAGAGACAGAGAGAGAGAGAGAGAGAGAGAGAGAGAGAGGAGAGAGACTCTTATTTCAGACCACTTCCCCCTCTTGCTGCCGTCCCAGAAACAGTCACCCAACCCAACCAATTCGACGCGGCCGCTATTGAAAACGAGGTTTGTACCTCTTCAATTTCCCGAAAACGAGTTCTTTTAAGTTTGTTAAACTCCAATTTGATACTAATGGCTTCTTGTCCTCCGTTCTCGACAAGAAAACTGGTGTTCGCCGAAATCTGCGGCAAGAATTCTTCTACTACGAGGTTTGAACGCCTTGAAAAAGTTGTATCGGCCATTAGAGCATGGGAAACAACGGCCAACCCTCCGGGGCGTATGTCTTCAGGCCGTTGACGCAGACGGCGAAGAGTTTGGGCACTGTGGTGGCGATATCGGCGGTTCAGGTAGGTTGGAGAGGGAGAGTGCGAGAGAGAGAGAGAGAGAGAGAGAGAGAGCGAGAGAGAGAGAGAGAGAGAGATTTTCCAGGGCCCACTTGTCCAAGAAGTTCGCCAAAAGGTCAACGACTTTGTGTACCAAACAGTGCGGTTGTACGCTGGGAAACCGCAGATCGAGTTCGACTGGGTGATCGGGCCATTGCCAAAGGAGGGAAGGTATCCGTTAAGGGTATTTAAATGTACTTCTTCTACAGTAACCCCGTCGGCAAGGAGTTCATCACTCGGTATACCTCGGAAATTGCTGGGAATGGAATTTTCTACACAGACTCGAGTGGTCGACAGGTTTTGAAGAGGACGTGTGTATCTTTATGTCGTTCTCTCTCATCGCGCTCTCTCTCTCTCTCTCGCCCTCTCTCTCTTCATCTCTCTCTAACTCCCCCTCTCTCCCCCCCCCCCCTTTCCCCCTCTTTCCAACTCCCCCCCCCCCCCTTCCAGCTGGGACTCTTACCCAATGTTCCAATACGAGGACAGCGAACCGGTTTCCGGAAATTACTACCCGGTCACGAACCGCATCTTCATCAAGGACACCAAGAGCCAAATGACGGTCCTTACCGACAGGTCCCAGGGTGGTACCTCCAAGGATGGCGCTATTGAGCTTATGGTGAGTTTTTGGGGCGTTGGTAGACGCACCGTGACCGCAACCCGTACACCGAAAATTGCATTTTCAGCTGCACCGCCGTTGCTTCTACGACGATCACTTTGGGGTGTCAGAAGCGCTCGACGAGCCCGGAAAAGACGGCAAGGGACTGGTTGTCCGTGGACAGCACTGGCTACTCATCGGCGACGCCGCGGTGAGTGTTTAAAGGGGTTGGGAATGCAGGATTTCGATTTTAAGGTCTTTTAGGTACTTTAAGACGATACAGCTTTTGAATAATTGTAAGTATTCATTCCTTATTGATTTTTGCATCATCATCCCTACTTGCCTGTGCCTTTAAAATGCTGCCATTCCCAGACCCAAGCAGCTATTCACCGTCCGATGGCCGTCGAGATGTTCCACCGCCCGATCGCCGCCTACGCTACGGTCGCCGATCCTGCCGGCTACCGTAGCCAGTACAAGACAAAAGTAGGAATTTAATTTTTTTAAAATCCGTATTCTAGTATTCCGGCTTGACGGCCTCGCTACCGAACAATGTGAACTTGTTGACGCTTGAGAAGAGGGGCAATGAGGTGTTGCTCAGACTCGAGCACATCTTCCAGTCAAATGAGGATTCTCAGCTCTCCCAAGCGGCTACTGTCGATTTTGGGGTGAGTCTGGCTAATTGGTGGCGGTGGCCCAGAAAAATCTGGGAGCTGGCGCTCACTCCCTTTCTCTCTCTCGCTCTCTCTCTCTCTTGCCGAATGCCTTCTTTTTTCAGAATCTCTTCACCGGCTTCAAAATCCAGAGCGTTCAGGAGCTGTACCTGGGCGCAAATCGGAATCTCACAATGGGCGGTAGGCTAGCTTCTACTCAAGCCCAATCCCGTTTAGTCACCACGCAAGTCACCCTCAAGCCACAACAAATCCGCACGTTCCGTCTGGCCGTTCAGCCCAAATAGGCACAAGCAAATATTTATTAGCGAAAATGCAATTATATTGTATAAACGATTAAATATTTAAGAATTCCCGTTTCTCATGCACTTCCACGTTGGGCTGCTGCTGCTGAAAAATGTGTTTTTAAACAGATCTTTAGGAAAAAGGCTTTAAAAACTTGGCTTAGGAATTCTCTGGTACAAAAAGGTAAGAAACGCAGTATTCTTACCTTGCGAATTGAGGAGTGGCGGTTTCGTGTACGATTCTTTGAATTTCTGCTCGGCGTGGTAGCGGGTCATCCTTAACTTCGTATGATCAAAGGGCATTCGTCAAAGAAACTCTGCTATGTTGCCCACTAGCTGGTTGCTGGTTTTTCGGTTTTCTGTCCCAATTAGCAAAAGAATTCCAGAAAAACGTCTTTAAGTCTACCTACCCCATAATCTCTGATATCCCCCAAACCAACCTATGGCGATGGTAATAGTACACGGGCATGATGAGGTATTTGAGGATGCTCCAGGGGAAGATGTGCCGGATTAGCATCTGTAAAACATGTTCAAGACGTTCAGGGATGACAGCTGAACCCTCTATTTCTCAAATAAACCTTGCAAAATACCCTTCGGATTTATTTTTTTTTAATCCTGAGGTGTCTCTGATAGCTATCTTTAACATATTAGCTTTTTCTCAAAGAGTATCTGCTAGCTTGCTACATCTCAAAGCTTCTACACTAGACAGTTTTATCATTAAAGCTTGATCAAAACAAATGGTCGATGCTAGTTTGCCCAATTTGCCAAGATTTTTTACCTGGATCTCATGATTGAAACATCCGGACGTCACCTTGACGAGCCCGACGGTGTTCACGGCTTGATGCGCGAATTTTTCGGGGAGCACGACAAAGAGGCCGCCTTTCTGCAAAAAGGAATACGGTATTGGGTACGGTACTTGGCTAAAGCTACAGAAAATACAACTACCGAGTAGTAGACCATTTTTGTGGCCACCAAGGCCGGCGTCAGGTATTGCACGGAAATCGTCTTGTACTCGCGGTCGATGCACTCCGAAAGGAAGGACATTACTGCCTAGAAAAGGGCATTTATAGCTTGGAGTTTGTAGTTGGCTACGATACATGAACTAGTTAATAAATTGAGGCTGATGCATACTACGGCACGCTGCATTGTATAGTACGTTTCGCTACGCTCCTCCAACCCCCACGAAGGGGCCCGTTAGATAGCCGCGTAGATGATGGGGGGGGTGGGCGTACCACACCTTACGATGATACATTCTAGTGTACCAGACTACAAGCTACAAACTACAGTACGCTACATTTTCATACGCCTAGCTGCAGTACTACCACAATTATCCGCTTAGTTACGCTACGATACGCTACGCTACGTTACGCTAGAGTGCGCTACACCACGTTACGCTACGTCCAAGGTTTGTTACGTTGCGTTACGCTGCGTTGTACAACACCCTACGCTACCATACACTCTGCTGTTTTCCGCTACGCATGCTCTGGCACGCCATGGTACGTTGCAGTACACACCACAACGATTTCTTTCAACTCATTAGCTTACCTTTGAAGCACAGTAGGCCGCGAGTAGTGGAATCGGGTGGTAGCCTTGGCTGAAAAACATTAAGTTTAATTTCGATTAATTTAAGAAAGCTGGTTTGCAATTTCTTGGACCTGTCGCGCTTCCCGTAAAAACTGAAAGTCTTACCTGGACGACAAGACGACGATTTGTCCACCGCCATGTCGTTCCATCGTCGGGAGGACGAGGGAGAGGAACTGAAAAAGAAGAGTTCATCGATTACGACATGAAATAAATCTAGCATAAACCGATTACGACATTAAATCAGCTTAGTATAAACCGATTACGCGGTGAAATTGAGAGATGGATACGTCATGACAGTAATTTTCTAGAAAGATTCTGCGTATTACCTCAGCACTTCCAAGGCCATTGACACGCAAAATCTGTCGATCCGCCTTCGGGTTGTCACCATAACGCTCGAGATTTTCTCGGCCGACACCGACACTGTTTACTAAATTTAAAATTGTATTTTTGAGGCCTACTATGACATACCGACAAAGCCAATATCCAGAGTGTCAATTTCGTGGCGGAGCTTCTCGTAGTCACCTGTCTCAAAGTCGAACAGGATCGTTTTGACGCGACATTTGTGGGTGAGTTCTAAAAAGTGTATATAATTACTCTCTCTACCTCTCTTTCACTCTCTCTCTCACTATCTCACTCTCTCTCTATCTCTCTCACTCTCTCACTCTCTCTCTCTAACTCTCTCTCTATCTCTCACCCCTACCTAAAAAGTCTTGGACATTCTTCAGCTTCTCCTTATTCCGGCCAATCACGACAAATTTCCGCATCCCCCGCTTTGCCAGCTCCGTCATATACGCTTTTCCAATGCCATCCGTTCCGCCGGACACCACTAAACATTACATTTTACAGAGTTTATGATCCAAATCTAAAATCATAGACTTTCATCCCTTTTGCGACCGATATATTTCAGTCTATTTCGAGAAAGTCCAGTTCCTTTTTGAAACCATGAAATAGACCGTGAAATTGCGGTCCAGGAAAAAAGTGCCGGCCGTAATTTGGAAAGGAAACAAGACAAAAAAGTGATAAAACAGGTTTGCCACGTTTCGCTGGCCCCCGGAAATTCGGGTAGAACAGAAATTGGGCGGGTCAGAAATCAGTGGGGGGGAGGGGGAGAAAAAACAGCCCAAAGAAAAAGGAAACACAAAAAAAATTAAGTAATATCAACTTTTAGAAAATTTGATTTAAAACCTTACGCGTCCATCGGTGCTCATATTTCCGCAAATTGGGCTTGTAGAAAATCGGGGCGATGAGGTAGACGAAGATGGCCTCGAGGAGGGCGATGGCAGTGCGGATTATTCTGGAAAAATAGGGTGGATTAAAGGGGTTCGCAAGTCAGATGCCGCCGCTACGCAAAACGACAAAACCGCGCACGGTCTCAAGTCCCGCCGCTACCAAAAAAACTGCGTATTTTGGAGCATGGTGTAGCCGTGAAGGCCCAGCTAACAGTCGGAGTTGATCCGCTTAGAACCCAAGTCTAGTTATGTTTACGCGCTTCAGAAAAAACTCGTCTATACAAGGAGTGATTGCGGATTGGCGCGGAACGGCGGCATTGTGCCGAAACCGGTTCGGTTTGAGTGAGCCGGTGGCGGTTTGTTTGCTTTGCCATAACAGGGGATTGGCGGGTTTTTCGGCACAACCATAATCGTTGAAAATACTTGATAAGTAATACGCTTTGAAACTCGCATATTAGTACCGGCTGTTTTGAATCGGAAAATCGGAAATTTCTGTATAAATTTAATGCCGATTGTGACAGGAGCGCGCCAATAAAACAGGTTTCTAATTTGCATTAAGGATTTCGAGACCCTGAACTCTGCAGTTTAACGAATGCCGAGTCACGTAATGCGCAACCTTGAACGTCCCCGACTTGGCGCCGCCGCCTGGTCAGCGCTAAATTTGAGGTTTAGATGATAGTAGGCGTATTTTAGCATACAGATAGAAATCTAAAAAGTGGAATTTTGTAATCCCAAAAAAATTTTAATCGGGGAACTAAACTTTTATTTTCATTTTTTTGGTAATTAGGTATTTTCCATTTTTCAGCCGTTTCAAGATGCATACGTTAATTCTACAGTAACCAGGTAACTTTCAGGTCCGTATAGACGCCTAAAAGCCACGCCAGAAAAAACCAAAAACTAAAACTAGACATGAAACTTAACTAAACTCCGAAAAGATTTTGCAATATTTACAAAAAGCTTACTAAATTCCTGAGCAACCCAGTGGCTTGCCAGTCCCTTTAAAACAACCAAAAAAAATTCCATTTTCCGTGTGGGACCCAAAAAAGACTCGAAAAACTGGAAAAACCCACGGTTTCGACCTATTTTTGGGTTTCCAGGAGACTACGGTAGGCGCACACTAACCGGGTATTTTATTAAGCCATTAAACCCCCTGTAAAAAACGACAAACCTGTATCCAACATAGCAATATGGTATCCAGAGCAACATGGCAATAATCTGTTGGTATGGCTCGAAGATGGAGTGGAATGGTGAGGGTGGAGGGGGAGGAGAAAGTATTGGGGCGGGAGGGAGGGCGATTCCCATCTCCGCTGCTGCTGCTGCCCCGATGTCCGGAATCGGTGCCATCTATTCCGCGCGCTTTCGGGACGGAACGTCCGTAAACGAGGGGGATTCCTGGAATTGCCTTTTGCTCTGTTAGGTCGAGGAAATCCTTTCGCACTCCTCGTTGAGAAAAACCAAAACGGGGCGCCTGCAAAGTACCAGCCGGAAAAAGCTGGTATGCTCATTTTTGAGGTACTAAACTGTTACCGGGGGGAGAGCTGACTTTTCCTCATAATTTAGTAAGTTATTGCAAAAAATTTTTAATATTATTTTAAAAAAAAATAAAATTATTTCCAGCAATAAAATTACTAAAAACATTATGTTCCCGGATAAAGTTTGTCTTGTTTCACAGGCTCTCCTTTTTTTAGTAAAAACCGTAAAGTTATAAAAACAAAAAAATTGAGCCACACCTAAAATGCAAATTTTAATCGAATTCTCATAGGAATTCTCAAAAAATTTTCGGGGTTTCTAATGGGATCGGGTTGCCGGGTTGGGTACTAGGACATTAGCGGGGGGAGGATTTCTACCTAGCTATTGATAATACATAACATATTTTTATGGTGCGCTTAATAGCTTTGCATTGCTACAAAGTTTTAAAAACATTTTTTTATTTTTACCCGTTCTGGCCATTTTCCAAACACTTTTTTTGCCAAAAAATCGAAACGTGCGCACATTTTATGGTTTTTGATGTGTTTTTCAGATCCCAAAACCGTCGAATAACCTTTCCAAAATTGGTTTATATTTTGTTATGAGGCCGTACAGGAAAAATGGGGAAAATTGGCTCACCCGCCGCTAAAGTCCCCCTCGCTAACAGTCCAGTACCGTAAAACCGTTGGCATGCATCCAAAATTTGTAGAATTGAGAGATCGCAAATTTTTCTGTTTCTCTGGAAATATTTTTAAAAAAAAAAAAATTGTTCATATGGATTCACACGAGTTAAAAAAGGGAAAACGGAAAAGTTGCGAACACGTTTTCAATGGAGAAAAGTTGACTTGAATGCATGAATCTAGGGCTCAAGCTGGAAGCTGCAGGGGGTTTGGGGGGAAGTTCTCGACTGATTCACCGGGATAGTGATTTCAAGTGGTCAGGGCAAAACCTGAAATAGCAGCCAGGAAGGGATGGAAAGGGCAGGCAAGGAAACCGTTAAGCCGGATTTGATCTGCTCCTTGCAACCCCGGTTGTTTTCCGATTTCTTTGGCGCCTCCGGTCCCGATTTTACCCATTTCCAGCGAAAGTTATCTAAATTAAACAATAGGCTTACAAAATGCCAAAAAGCTCTTCGAACACAACTTTCAAATAATCAAAATCACAAAATTTGCAAAATTTTGTAATTCCAGTCAAGAAAAAAAATCAAATAATTGGCATTTCGAGAGTAAAAACCCGAAAATAAAAAAGGGAAACTTGCTTCCATAGAATCCAGGATTTTTACCTGCGTTTTAACAACTTAGAAAAGCGCATAAATTTGACACCAAAAATTTTAACAATAATTTATTTTTTAATTAAAGAAAAGTAGCCAAAAATAGCCGAAAAATAGCATATTTTCTTCGACAAACATTGTTATTGCGAGTAAACAAGACACAACCAGTACAACCTAGCTAAGAGGGACAATCGAATTAACTAATTTGGCGGCAAAAAGGTGCTAGAACACTGCCGTTTTCAGTGTCCTTTTTATTATTTTTGTAAAGTATATTCATAAAGCCTAAATTTTACGCATTGAACACGTATGAAAGCGCGGCCTAATTTATCAAAAATGTTAAATCACGCAGATTAAAAACCAAAGAAAGGATGAAAAAGTAGAAGTTTGACGAAAAATGCTACAAAAAACATATTTTGCATTACCAAAAGTGTAAAATACGGATCCTAATATTCAAGACAAGGCCCGCAAACCATGCTGCTCGTTTATGGCTACTTCCTGCTGGGGCTGCGGGGGTGAACTGGTTCCAATTCTTCTCAAGGCTCGTGCTCACAACCACAGCCACCCATCCGACCCGACCCCCACAAAATTGGCAACCCCCAAACATGGGCAACACAAGACGGGGGTCTCCTTTTATGTCTGGCATGTCTTTTAATTGACTGGAGCCGGAAAAAGAGGGTGATCCCGTGGGGTGGATTTTGTGTAATACCAGCGAATGTCTACCCAAAATCAGTCGGGCCCACTACAGATCAGCGGAGATCGATTTTAAAGGGACTTTACAGAAGCGGTTTTTTGATTTTTAATATTGATTTTCCATGGATTTCGATGAAAAAAAGACGACAAACACGCTACTCACATGATTCCGCGGTGTTCGCGAGTAGGAGGATGGCGGATAGTGCGCAGACGGGGGGTGCAGACACACAGGGAGGGGGGGGGCGGAATAGAGGCGAAGGGGACTAGACTATAGGGCGGGGGGGACAGGGGGGGCCAGAGCGCAGATTCTCCCTTCCCCTGGATGCCTGCCAAGGGCGGAATGCTGTGTACTAGCACGTAACAGCACGATTAAGCTGACGTAATCGATTACGAAACGTATCTTCGAGTGTGAGCGTTACGTTTAGTTGGGTTGAGACTGATCAGTTCAGATTTATTTTCTGAGTTACCAGAGTCTTTAAGGGGACCGTCAAAGGGATTTTGTTGGCTATGGATTTTTTATGGATTTGGTCGCGCGACGCACGCACCAGACGCTGTGCCGCGTACGTTGCGTGCCGCGACTCCTGCAGAATCGGACCCATAGCCCGTCCATTGCGTGATGGATGACGATGTATTTCGAAGCAGACTGAACTATGTAGAGTTGGAATACGCGTCACCGGCCGCGGGGCGGCATAATTCGATAGCGCTGCCTTGCTCGTTCCTTTAAAGGCACTATGATGTCAAAATTTTCATTTTTAGGCAGCGAACCCTCGTTCAAAAAACTTGACGTTGCTGTCGAAAAGCATCAGAAACATGTTTCGTTGCAAAAAAGGCGAAGAAAAAACCATTTAAAAAATTCAAAAGGCTAGAATTATTAAAATTACGTTAGGATGCCAAAATGATGTCAGAATTTTGAAATTGCGGCGTTTTCACGTTTAACCAGGGACTAGAATATACGCGCGGTGACGTCGTTGCGCAAGAATCTGGCTATTTGCCAAGAATTAAAGCTGGGGAGCTTGGACAAAACTTAATTGCTACTTTAAAATAAACCTAGCGGGAATGAGAATGGAATTGATAGTATGCCAGATGGTGTGCTATAAAAACGGGCCCC